AATCTTTTTAGCTTCTTTGCAGCGTTCTGATGGTCTTTTTAGGGGAGTGCCTTTGTTATATGTTTAATGTAACTGACCTGCTCCGATGCTGGTTTTTTATCCTTGTTTTTCTGCCTTTTAGGCTTTATATGTTATCTTTTTCCTTGCAAATATTTCTTTTCCTCAACTTTTTTATATTTCTGTATAATCCTTTTTCTTGTGTCTGGAAAAAAAAAAGATTGCAGTAATATTTATAAAAAAAATACAAATATACTAGATGTAGAATTACTTTATGGTTTTCACTCCAAATGTTTCTGATGTAATGGTTCTTGCTCCTAATATTCCTGCTATAATTCATTGGTAGGTTCTAACTCCTAATGTTCCTGATATAATGGTTACGCCTCCTGAGGATGAACATTTAAGGCATGTAATTGATACAATGGCTTTGTATGTCTTGGATGGAGGATGTGCTTTTGAACAAGCTATTATGGAGAGGGGTCGTGGCAATCCTCTTTTCAACTTCTTGTTTGTCCTTGGCTCAAAGGAACATACCTACTACGTTTGGAGACTCTACTCATTTGCCCAGGTACAACAATTTCCTTTGTGAGAATGCAATTTATTTCCTTAAGAATGTGTTGACCAAACAAAATGCTTAAGTACTGTGACAATATATTAAAGTATCCATAAAAGCAAAAAAATTTCTGACATAGTAGCGTCATTTAGATTTTTTTTATTTATTGATTGAATGCGTCGTTTGCCTGTAATGCAGGGTGATACTCTTCAAAGATGGAGGACTGAACCTTTTATCATGATAACGGGTAGTGGAAGGTACTCTAATTTTTTTTTCTTTGTAGTATGATTTTATTATTTCCAAAACATTAGAAAAGAAAGTAGACAAAGAATATTGGTGGACTGCTTTGTTTGCCAATGTTGTGATAAGTGTAACCTAGACAAATGTCATTTTCTTTCTCCAGATGGATTCCTCCAGCATTACCAACATCAAAAAGTCCAGAACATGAAAAGGAGTCTGGTTCCACACATGCTGGAGGAAGAAGCAGGGTACTAGTTTGTTGTATTTTTCAATTAGGATAAATGTAATTTCTAAACACTGTCTATCATGATCTACATGCTTTTGTAACTTTCCATATTTTTATTGAATATGGCAGCGTGTGGAGCCTGAAAGAACACTGACTGATGTACAGAGGGATGAATTTGAGGATATGCTGCGTGCTTTAACATTAGAGAGGAGCCAGATAAAAGAGGCTATGGGGTTTTCTTTAGATAATGCCGATGCAGCTGGCGAGGTAGAACTATTGTTCTGCACATTGACTATTGGAATGTCTTCAGTATTATTGAAATTGGTGGTTCATAGTCTCAATAAAATTATCTTCAACTAAGCCATTTAAGCCCATTTGCTTACTTAATTCATTAATGGCATCTATTATTCAGTTTTAATAAACCTAGCTTCAATCTGCACACTGGACTTAGACAACCTGGTGGCAATGCCTCAGTTTGACTTGACCTATCTCATCCCTAAATAATCAATCTATGCACACAACTTTGTACCATAACAAAATATACCAAGTATATGTTGGATTGATCTTCGCTCAATTTTTATAGGAAAGTATTCTTCATTTATAAATGACCAACCACTATTAAATAAATAACAACCCACTAATATAATCTTATTACTAATCTGATCTAAAACAGAAGGACTCAAAGTCTCAAACAGAAAATTACTAATGACTTGTCATGAAATAAACTGGGAAATACTGCACCTTTGCAAGTTGATACCTTTTGTGCAAATTCCAAAGTATGATATTAGCATTTGTGTTAGCCCCCCTTTTCCCTCTAGTATTTCTTAATTTATGCTGGCGTGGGTTTCAGTTCAGGATGGGCCAAACACCCGTAGTTGACATGGTTTTGTCTGGGGAACTCCTGAAAAGCTATATGAATACAATATTTTACTAAAATGTGCTCTGTTTATGCTAAAATAAGCACACATGGCCCAGTCAGTTACTATAGTTTTGGAATGTATGCATTATTTACCATAAAAATTAAGTTAATGCAAAGAATAAAACATATTACCTGATTTCGTAAACAGAAGAAAAAGATGCAGAATTGTCTGTTATTATTGTTCTCTTGCTATCATTTACTATTCAATTATCTTTCATTTTGTATGTTTTGGAGGATGCTTCCTTAATGATATCTAAATCTTAACTGCAGATAGTTGAAGTTTTGACTGAATCCTTGACACTTAAAGAAACCCCTATTCCAACTAAAATTGCAAGGCTTATGCTTGTCTCTGATATTCTTCATAATAGTAGTGCTCCTGTAAGAAATGCGTCAGCATATCGCACCAAATTTGAAGCAACATTACCGGACATAATGGAGAGTTTTAATGACTTGTATCGTAGCATTATGGGGCGTATTACTGCTGAAGCCCTAAAGGTAGACTGAACATTAGTACATTGCGTGATATAATTTCTTAATTTCTTTCTTATTCTGGTTAGTGATCTTTGTCTGAAATATTCCAGGAACGAGTGCTGAAAGTTTTACAAGTTTGGGCCGACTGGTTTCTATTTTCAGATGCTTATGTGAATGGCTTAAGAGCTACTTTCCTTCGACCTGGGAACTCTGGTGTAATTCCATTCCATTCCATATGTGGGGATGCACCTGAGATTGAGCAGAAGACCACTTCAGAAGATACAATTGTTGGTGGCAAGACCAACCAAGATGCCGCATTGGCAATGGGTCGAGGAGCTGCAACAAAGGAATTAATGAGTCTCCCCCTTGCTGAGCTAGAAAGACGGTGCCGACACAATGGGTTGTCACTTGTTGGTGGTAGAGAAATGATGGTTGCACGTCTGTTAAGTCTTGAAGAGGCAGAAAAGCAGAGAGGTTATGAACTCGATGATGAATTGAAATATGCCCACAATCAAGTGAGTTCTGGGAAATATTCAAGTAATCGGCAAGAAACAAGTTCGGAGCCTGAACCAGTAGGACTTTCTGCATGGAACCACTATGGGGATGAAGATTTGTCGCAGAGCAGAAGTTCTGCATCTTTAGCCCCTACACTTCCTATTCCACAACCTGAACTTAAAGCTTTCACAAAAAAGGAAAAGAGTGATCCAGTTCTGCCAGCATCTAAATGGGCTCGGGAGGATGATGAGAGTGATGATGAACAAAGGAGAAGTGGAAAAAATCTCGGCTTAAGTTACTCATCTTCTGGTAGTGAGAATGTGGATGATAGTCTTATTAAAACTGATGATTCAGAGTCTGCAGCTGGTACAAGTTTTCCAGCTCATGGTGACAGTGGAATGAATGAAGAGCAGAGGTTGTATTATATTTTTCCTTGACTTCTCTCTTTCATTCTTTCATTAGTAGATAGTATCAGTAGTAGATTGTCTATGGAATTGAATACCGTTCATGCCATTTTGGTTCTGCTTATATTTACTGGCATTTGAATATTCTTTCTTTGTATTTTCTTTAATATTTCATTGTGGTTTTAATTTTCTTTCCCCAAAAGCTATTTAAATTCATTATCGTTTTTGAGGGTGGGGAGGGTACAGCCAGTATTTATATTATATATGCGTGCGTTCTTACGGAGGTTACCGTGGACTGGTGGGCAGGCAAAAGCTAAGACGCTTGGAGGTTGCTTTAATTGAATACCGTGAATCCCTTGAAGAAAGGGGAATTAAAAATTTGGAGGAAATTGACAAGAAAGTTGAGTCACATCGGAAACGGCTGCAAGCAGAATATGGCTTATCAGATTCTGGTGAAGATGGTAAAAGCAATAGTAAGTTTCTATTTATCTTTTCTTTTGAAAGTTGTGCAGAAGCAATTGATTTTTCATTTTACTGACATCTTATTGACATAGTGAAAGTTCAAATGCCTTTATTACACATTGGTTTAGATGTGACAGTGCATTGTAATTATTCAACAATCATTTAGAAAATTCAATAACACAACAGTCATCTGCTTGCTTATATATTACCTACTGGACCTCAGTGATGGTAACTTAACTGTAGTTGCATATCATCTTATTGCCTATTTGAGATGTGGTACTTTTTGAGTAGCTGTATGAGGGATTTGTACTTGACGTATGATTTGCTATCAATTATTCAATTTATGGTTTCTATAATATTCATTTTCTTCTGGGGCATTAAACATGGCGTTTTTCAATTTCCACATTATGTTTCAGGTGTTAAGTAATAATAAAGCAGGATAGTAAAGTATACGAAGTAGTTTATTTGCATTTGAAATGAGGATTCCCAATCTGATCTGGTTTTTACCTTTAATGGCTTTGGTGCTACCTGTCATCATACGTTCAGTTCCCAATTCCTGATACACTCTCTTTGGAAGAAAGGGAACACATAATTGTTATAATTTTCATTAAGCAGATGTCTGGAATTTTGTTAAGTAGGGGAGTAAAACTGAAGGAATCAGATGCATGGAGTGAAGAAGTACACAATGTATCTTGGGATAACCATTAAATACGCATGCTTTCATACGTCTCCGTTAAATCCCTTCCTCTAACCTCACCTTTTCCATGCTTTCTATTAATTTCTTTAAAAAATGTCATTAAAATGAGAAATTATATCTCTATAAGTGTTATTCTCCCTGTTATTCTGCATCAAGCTTTCAAATGATGTAAAACTTTAGAATATGAAGATTTTGGTTATATTATTTTATAATCGCAGGAAGAACTTCAGAGAGGAGGGATAGGCATGATGTCTCAAGGAAACGGCACCGAAGCCGGAGTCCAAGTGGTAGTCCCCAACCAAAATTATCTGGAAAAGACAGAGATAGAGAGCATGATTTAGAAAGGGATCGAGACAGGCAAAGGGACAGAAGTTATGATTTTGATAGTGAAAGAGGAAAGGACCGGCCCCGGGAAAAGAGTGGAAGCAGGGAGAGGGATGATCATGATAAAGATAGAGCCAGGGATAGGGATAGGGACAGGAGAAGACGGACCAAATAAGAACATTTCAGGTGTTTCAGCACTGAGATCTGTTACTTTACTGATTTGCAGATTGATTTGTCAAAGTCCGGAGGACAGTTGTTGGCTTTTTGTCATCGTTGGGGGATATTGGCAAATACCTGTTGGGAGATGGGAATGAAACGTCTGCCATGAAATTGTGACTGTACAATCTTTGGAAGTGTTTAGTGGTGGTAAATGGCTCTTAATACCCCCCACATTTTTAACAATGTAATTTTAAGACTTTAAATCGTTAATTTTGCCGTTAATTAGTGCATGCTGCTGCACAATGCATATTTAATCAAGAGGGTTCTGTCTATACTAATTGAGCGTTAATAGGGAGATTCGGCTGATTATGTGTTTGTACTGCTTGTTGGGTAAGTTGTAGTTCTAAGCATTATTGCCTAATGATATATGTTAGTATTCTGGACCATTTTTTTACTTCTATGCAAGTTATTTGATAAAATCAATTTAGTTTACCTTTATGATGTTTTTGACAACTGTTTAACTACTCTCTTGCTTTAATGAATATTTTTTGTTCTAGTTCAGGTACATGACTGAGTAACATCTATAGAGCAAAATTGTAATTTTCAATTTTTTTGTCAGGACAAAAACTTACAAAAGGTGGAGATAAATTGTAATTTTCAATTTTTTTTGGCAAATATCGTATATAGTCTGCTAAGTTCGAATGAACTTTTGCATCCAAATAACATTTTTAAAATAATATAGATATATCTTGATATTTCATACTTGGACGTCAAATTTTATTTTACTACTTAGTATTTGACCTCTTGACTCTACGAAAAAGACAAGGAGGGTCAATTTACTCACTTCATATATATTATAAAAATATTTCAAATAAATATCCCTTTTCCAAAAGCACTAGTGCTAATATTTACTTTTGTTTTCAATTTTGAAAATTGAAAGGAAAATACCTCTTTATTATATTTTGGTATAATTATTGAATAAAATGGTAGCCATTTTTCAAGTTTCCAAAATACGTAAAAAATGAAATAAAAAGGCAGTTGAAGATCTCACAGGTTCTAAATTTAAAAACATAAAAAGAAAATATTTAAATATGTTTTTAGTCCTTGAAATTTAGAATATTTTTTATTTTAAAACTATTTTTAGTCTTTTAAAATTATTCTTTAAAGGCTAAACTAATATTTTATTAAATTTCAGAAACTAAAATAATTATTTTTAATTTGAGGGACTAAAACAATTATTTAGTCCAAATTTTAAGAACTGAAATTATAATTAATTCTAAACAAAAACTAAGTATAACTCTAAAAAATAACTTGTGGTAATTGAATACATTCTATGTTCAAATGACGACATTATAAATGATAGTCCATTGTATACACTCACACAATATAAACTTGGTATATTATGATTGGGTTAGTAAAAGCATAATAAAAGCATTACTCTTTACAATTTGTAAGTTTTATCCATTTTAAAAAGAGTTAAAACATGAAATAAAAAAATAAAAAAATCAAGAAAGTAAATAAAAGAAGCAACATTAAATTTTGATATTTTTAATTTTTAACTATACTTACAACGGTCAAGCATAATAGATGTTCTGAGTGAGAAAAAAAATGCTAAACTATAATGAAGATTATTTAAAACCTCGGGTTGTTAACTTGTCCTTCGACATCATGAAAAAAAAAAGATTAAAATTTGCATAATCTACAAATTAACTTTTATATTGATTTAAATTAAAATATAAATTCACATAAAGTCTTGATATGATTACTTCTCATTTCTTTTATATAATTTAATTTCCTTTGCCTCTTTTTATAACGTCTAATTCATTCATAGTTTAGGAAAGCCCTGCCTCATCTTTCTGTTCTTCCTCTTAAATCAAATTAGATGAAGGGGTGAGTTTCAGTTCCAATACAACCTTCAATCATCAGCAATCACATCACATTCCTTCCTAAACCAAATCAGATTCCATCTCATTCTAACTTCTCAACTCTCTGCACCTAAATCTTGCAACCGAGCAAGAGTCTCATGGTATAAGACAAGACACACCCTGCACTGCATTCAACCCAAAACCAAAACAAACAACACAACACTTTCTTCCATTCATCATAACCCATCTTCTCTTCTCTCTCTTCTTGTTCGAGAGAGAGAGAGAGAGAGAGAGCACGTGCATAGCATAACATAGCGATGGCAATGGCAAACAAAGAGAGGGAGAAAAAACTCTTCTTTGTTGGGTCGCTAGTGAACTACGCTGCAGAACTCAAGCTGCTTCTCACAACTCTCCTTCTCCTTTGCGGCGTGGCTACTCTCCTTCAGTTCCTCCCTTCACGTTTCACCATCTCATCCTCCGATCTCCGCTTCTGCATCTCAAGGGTCTCCCTACAACCTCCACCACCCTCTGCACCACTTTCTTCACCCCCACCACCACTTTCCGCACCCCCTCCACTACCCTCTTCCACTTCTCTCTTCTCCAACGCCACCATCAAGCGTGTCTTCAACACTTACGGCTCCGCATCATATAACTTCATCACCATGGGAGGATACCGAGGAGGACTCAACACCTTTGCCATCGTCGGCCTTTCTTCCAAGCCACTTCATGTTTATGGTAAACCCACCTACGAGTGTGAGTGGATCCCTCTACCAAACACCACCACTTCTACAAAACCCATCACCACAAAGGGCTTAAAGTACCTCCCTGACTGGGGCTATGGCCATGTCTATACCGTGGTGGTTGTTAACTGCACCTTCAATGGCACCACCATCAATGCTTCCAACACTGGTGGCAAGTTGGTGCTCCATGCTTCCACCTCGGGAGCTGGTGACACCAACTTCAATGTCACTGATAGAATAGAGGTTCTTCAAGAAGCACCTGGAACTTTCAATGCTTCACTGTTTTTGTCAAAGCCAAAGTATGACTACTTCTACTGTGGCTCTTCTCTCTATGGGAGCTTGAACCCCCAGAGGGTGAGGGAATGGATCGCTTACCACGTGAAGTTTTTTGGGCCAAGGTCGCATTTTGTTATTCATGATGCTGGTGGGGTGCATGAGGAGGTGCTGGAGGTGCTGAAGCCGTGGATGGAACTGGGGTATGTGACGGTGCAGGATATTAGGGACCAAGAGAGGTTTGATGGGTATTATCATAACCAGTTCATGGTGGTGAATGATTGCTTGCATAGATACAAGTTCATGGCCAAGTGGATGTTCTTTTTCGATGTTGATGAGTACATTTATGTGCCACCTAAGAGTACTATAAAGTCCGTCCTTAATTCGCTCTCAGAATACGACCAGTTCACCATTGAACAGATGCCCATGAGCAGCAAGATTTGCCTCTCTCAGGATAACGGCAAAACTCACAGGTACAGTTTTGCATGCCATGATTCGCCATTAAATACTTAAAATTTTGCTGGATAAATTTCTCTGCAACACAGGAGAAGAAAAAAAATGGTAAAATGAATTAAGTTTCTCTATTAGTTAAAATTATGTTAACGTTCATAGAAGTTCTCTCATTTAGCAAATCTTTACATAATTTTTATTTAAAGTAGCTGGTTGCTTGGTTAAATCTATGTTCGTTAACTGTGAATTCAGGGAATTGTTATGGCTCAAACAATTGGGAGACTGAATTGGGTGGATTAATAAGTTTCGCTAAGTGTGAATTTTGCTTTTGCTGTTCACCTGAGGCATCAATTTTATGTCATTGTCCTTTCGTCTTTTGTTTTGATTCTCTTAATCATTGAGTATATTTTGTGTTGGACACTGTTTACTTCTTATACAAAGGGAGGATATCAAATTGCATTATTGTGGTGTGGAAGCATTTGGAAATATTTGCCATCACTTTAGCATTGATTCTGTTTTTCTAGTGTAACAGGACAGGTGGAGATGTGGGGCTTGTTTGAACCTTTTTTTTTTTTTTTTCTAGAGTATGCTTTGTTTCTGATCTATACGCACAACCATCTTTAAAAATATTAGAGAGATCCGTAATATTAGTTCAAGAAGACTCTTTCTACATGCGTTCAAAATTCAGAACCATTCTTGAATCATCATTGTTTTCTTTTTCTTCTTCTTCTTCTTCTTCTTCAATAAGCTGCACTAACAATCTTCAAAAGCATTTCAATTCTGGTAATTGAAAGACCCCACCAAGCGTGGTGAAAACTGATGTTGATCTTCCCTGACGTTTATTTTGGCTGATTTCAGTTCTTATCTTTTGATTAAGACCCACAACTCTTTTGTACACTAGTGAGCTTTGTAAATATACACTGCTCTAGAATATTTTATCATTCATAATAAATATAGCCATTAATTTGGTCACAGTCAGAGAACAATTAGGTCCAGTTGTCCAAGTGTTAGTCGCTTGATTTTATTACACAGAATTGCTATAGATGCTTGTCAAGTGTAGTAATATTTCTATTAAAGTTGGTCTTAAATTTACATCTACCACAAGCACACATACAAAACACTGAAGAATGATGCTCTAAGTAGGATGTTGTTAATTGAACTTATCAATATTGTTTACAACCTTCAGGGTTAATCTATTCAATAAGTACTTTAATTATTTATCAAAATATGCCCATAACGTTCTTTAATCATGCTTGTGTTGTGTTTGACATGGTGTGATATGAACTTAACAGGAAATGGGGTTTTGAGAAGCTGGTGTATAGAGATTCAATCACAGGCATTCGTAGAGATCGAAAATATGCAGTGCAACCACGCAGCTTGTATGCAACAGGGGTGCACATGTCACAGGATCTATCAGGAAAGACAACTCACAAAACTGAAGGTAGGATCATGTACTTCCACTATCATGGAACCATATCAGAAAGAAGAGAATCATGTAAAATGCTGGTAAACTCGACACAAGTCACACATGACAAAATCCCTTATGTGTTGGACACCACATTGAGGGACATTGCTGGGGCAATCAAGAAATTTGAGCTCAAGATGATTGGATCAAGGTTGCAGAAGACAAAGCAATGACATACTTCAAATCTTTCTTTCCTTTTCTCTTGGTGGGGCTTTCCTAGAGAAATACACGATTTAACGTGTGGTGGCAGGATAGAAAAACCACCGGTTTCTTTATTTACTATCTGTATTATATATAATTTTTTTAATTATTTGGTACATGGTACACGATCTTGTTGCATTTCTAAAATTACTTTGGTTTCTGGGTTCTGTTATTTAAGTTTTTCTTTTTCTTTTTTGTCTTGTATTCTGTACTTTTTGTAAAAAAATATTGAATAAAGATGAATGATTTAATAATGGTGTCGGTGAGAGAGACCAGGGCAGCCCCACCTTAGGTGCCATTATGTGAAGGGTGACCAATGTGCTGTGTTACTTTCTCAGAGTGTATTTTTCCTTTTCTATTCTTCATTATTTCGTACCTTTCCTCTTGTTGGATCCTTATTCCTCAATAAATTTGGATGAAAGCATCCCCAATTGCTACTTCCTGGTAGTCTCCATGGCTTTCATTTGTAGGAAAATGGGAGATTTTATCCTGTTTGGTTTAGGGTCAGATAATTGATGAAAGGGGAATCTTTTTTGGTGAAGTCAAAATGAGTCCTCTTCATTTCTATTGCCATCATCCAAACGTGGTCCCAAGGACATGCCGAATCATTAGTTTAGTAACTGCTTTTGTTTCACATGGTTGTTATGTTGTTTACTATTTCATAACTAAAAACTCATGTACCAACAGGATCCTCTTAAAATAAAGTATGGCTTTGAATTTGATAAGATATATTTGAAGGATTAACTTGTTTAAACAATTCTTTTAAATTAATCAATAGGTGTAACAAACACTTAATTAATTAAGTGTACCATAATATTGAACCAACACAAATTATTCTTTTTTTTTAATCATATTATTAATAGGGGGTACCCATCAATTTATCTTTAATGTGATCTTCCATTAATCACGTTCATTTCTTCATAGTCGGTTTAGTTGTTGATAAGTAACTTGCAACTACTTTTTAAATTTTGTGACTTCTCAAAACCCTACCTACTTAAATTTTTTTAATCCAACAATATTGTATTGTATTAATAGTTATAATTTTAGGTTTTTTAAGATACTTCTAAAAGTATAACTTGTTAAAATATTTATTTTAAATATATTTATATATCTTTTAATATATTTTTTAAAATAAATGTTAAACGATTATGATCATATTTAAAGTATTTTGTGTTGTATTTTGTGTTTTGAAGTTTTAATTTATAAAATGATTTTGATTCTAAAAGATACATCGATGAATTAATATATATATATATATATATATATATATATATATTATTTTTTATCTCAACTTTTAAATAAAGTAAAATTTATCAACATATAAAATAATAAATTTATAATATTTTATTATAACACTTATTAGATTTAATATAAATTATATTTTATAGTAGTTTAACTCCAGCTTTTATATATATTAAAAATAAAAATTTATAATGATTATTTATATTATATATATTTTTTATTATAAAATAAAATATTATATATATATATATATTTATTTATTTTGTTAAAGGAAAATAATGAGAGTTTTTGGAATACATTAGTTGGTGATATAATTAAAGATTAGATGAGGTGTGTTTAGTATCCATTAGGTTAGGATTTCTCAAGATTGAATATCATATATGTACGAGACAAGACAAGTGACATTAATTAGAAGCAGTTTATTACTCACTAATTTTTTTAGACTAGTACTTTTATGATTATTTTTAGATTCAGTTTTTGAATTTATGAATTTATGGTTATTTTCAGACTAATGATTTATATTTTATTTTTATTAAATATTATAAATTAATCATTATTGATGAAAGCAAAAATGGTGACTTAATTATATTAAATTAGAAAAATATAACAAGATAATATTTCTTCTTTTGTGTTATCAGCTGTAATTGTGTGTTATTTTCTATCTCCAGGCAAAATGTTGTAGACGAATTTAATTAAGACTCTATTAGGAAATACTCAAATTAATAGTAATGAATAGAAAAACGAAAAATCTGGCTTAATTATATTAAATCAACCAAAATTGATTGATTCGATAAATCACCTTCCCTGCACTTCTTTTTCTTATTTTTTTATTTTTTGTCTATAAAGTGAATAAATATCTTCTTGGCTATATTTTACGTCTCTGAGAAGAGTTTGAAGATGATAGTTTTTTTTGCGATGGATCATGATGACACAATTGTTTTGATTTGGAGTGGCATGACGATCCTTATTTGGATTGACATTACTGCACTGGATCTACGAAGTGAAAGTGATATGATTGCATCTGACTTTTTTATTTGTATTCATTTTCTGTACGTATATTTTGGGAATTTAAACAATATAAGATTTAGGTTTAGGTTAATATTACTAAAAATTGATTTGAAATGCACATCATTGCACCTCTTGGTTATTATTTTTCTTTTAATTTTTTTAGTATAATGATTAGTAGAGAATATTCATGGACGTGGATGCGGATTATGTGTTGAGGCTGAAAATGGTGGGAAGAGTTCAAAGTGTGTGGATTTTCTGTGATGGATGAGGTAAGTATTATGGATATTATGTAGTTTAAAGTTGTAGTCAAAGTTGATGAATTTGCTCATTCTGTCTTCCGTGACATGCGTTCATCTAAAACCCTGTGAGCTCGTTTTTGCATCATATTCTTGTTTTGAGGAGTGTTTGAAGGATAACATGGATGACAAACATCAGAAACACATTCATTTTCATGAAATTGTATACCTGAAGCTATATAGTTGAGTATATCTTTCGCATGGGAAGATTTTGTGCAAATCATTCATATTTCTATTGAAAAGAAAATCACCCATCAATATTTCACCCACACTACACGATCGTTATAGAAGTGGCAGAACCGACTTGAAATAGTGTGCGCAGTTTTGTTATTTTAGTTAACACCACTTTCCTCGGGAGAGACTCGTTCATCTTCATGCACTTTGTGCTTCTAAGAAGACTGTAAAATCCTCTCTGGCTTTGCTTAAACGAGGTGTAATGCAGGATGCTGGAGAGGTGGGCTTTGATGTAGAGGATGATGTGGAAAACCGAACTTGTTGAGGTGATTTTGTAGAGGAACCAGTCTTAGGAACCCCTTTAAGGTCCTTCTCAAAGACAAAAGCTGAGGTAACTGGGGCATGCACATCATTAGCATTGCATTTGATAAACTCCATTGGTAGATCAAAGTAGGAGGAATTCATGGGGTCTCCTTCAATCTCATGGAACAGTGCAGAAGAAACCCAAGAACCACACTCAAACTTTTCCAAAGAAACCGTCCTAGATATTACAGCACCTTCCACTACTGATCCTTCTTTTCTCATTTTAACAGGTTTTGCTTTCCCAAAGACTGGAAGATACAGGCAGAGAGCACTGCACTTAAACCCCTCATCTTCATATGTTTCCACATCCTTCCCCCCACTCACAAGATTATCTCTGATGTCTTCAGTTTTGGAGAAGCTGTTCTGATGCATGTTATCACGTTCCACTGCATTTGGTATAGCCCACCAGAGATCAAATTCATCAGAAGGTGCACGTGGTCTTCCCTCGCCACATGACTTACTCCTCCTAAAGTGCATTTCTTGTAGTTGGTCATACTGATGCATGAGTGCTCTAGCTTGCAATGGTGATTCTGTGCTCCTGTGTTTCAGTTTCTTCTTCATCCAAGTGGAAGGTGTTGAGTTGGATGAATTTGGAAGACTAGGGCTTGGGAATTTTGGCTTTGGGGGTTGTGATAATGGACGGTGCAAATCAGTAGCTGCCAACGTTGTACTAGCATCACAAGATTCTTTCTGTGACCGTGCATCCACCACAATCTTTTTTTCTTTATGGGCTGTCTCAGTGTTTGAGGTTCTGGGTTTGATCATCTTTGTTACTGGCAAATCACCTTCAGCTATCGCATTGTCAATTTCTGTGTCAAGATCAAGAACCAAGATTGCTATGGACTTGTGGAATGGAGCAACGTAGCGGAATTTAGTATTTGAATAAAAAAAATGCATAGGACGTGAAGAGTGTGCAACATGTCCATCCATGTCTTAGTCGTGGTGATCATGTTTTCTCCCTAATCAACATTAATTATATATTTTACCCATAAAAATATACTGATAAAACAAGAGTCAGACATCCCAATAAATCATAATCTGAACTTGGAACGTGCTGGCCTCTCAAAATAGAAAGAAAGAAACCATGGTCGAGTCATGCATACAAAAGAACCTAAGGTCAACCAGAGATCAACAACATAGATTTACTAAGTAGGATGAGTAGCCTATCAATGGTAACAAGCATTGTCTTTTCAATAAAATTATGCTAACGAACTATTAACATTGAGATATACATACTCATTTCAATATAGTGTAACATTATACACTGAATTTGAGTGGAATGACAGTTACTACTGGAGGGAGTTGTAAAACAAAATCAGAACTACGGAAATTCCTATAATAATGGGGAAAGCCGAGACCAAATATAGTGCTCCATAGCCCTGCAGGAGGAGAACATCTTCAGTTGAAAGCTCCAAGGGTTAACCATTAATAACAACAATAGTAATAAAAATAGTTAATTGAAATCAGTGCACGGTTTTAATTGTCAAACTCAGACAAAATGAATCAATGATTATAGTTGGGTCCAATTTGTATAATTTCCTATCAAACTCAGAACAAACCAATTTGATCAATAATGGATTAGGTTGGGTTAAGGTTATTGGTCCAAAAAGTTTTGTTTTTGTTCTCAAAATTGTCCATTAGTAATAAATAAATACCAAAAAATATGTAAATAATAATATAAAAAAAAAATCTTCCTTGTCAACAGGTTGGATCATTGAGTTCACAAATTTAAAATTTAAAACCTGTTGTACAAACCAAAAGGACATCGGGTTTGAGCAAGTTGGGTATGATTATACTTGAACAACAACAAAATTTGGATCAAGGTGTTTCTGGGTTGATTCAGTTATGGGTCATCGGAACCTATAAACACCCTTGAACAATAGCTTTTTTCTATATAAAATTGAGGAGGTACACACTACAAATAAATAATATAGGGATTTTTCACACAAGTTTAGATAACAATATTTATGCAGTCTAACTAAATTTAAGTTGTCAACCAATAAAAAACCATACTAGCTATGACTTTTAAGATACTTAATACAAAGGTTAACAAAGTTACATGTCGGTGCACGCACTATTTACTATAAGCATATGGTTGCAGCAAATTCCTTTATTATAAATTATAATTGTTGGCACCATTATTCAAATAGCAAGAGCCATGGTGGCTAACTAAACCAAACAAGAAAAATAAAAGAATCTCTAAGGCAGGTTATGAACTCACCACTACTGGAGGCACTCCTGTCTCATCGTCAACATTCATCTCTTCAATTTCAGCAGCAGCTGAATCCCAATCAGTGTTTAGTTTCTTTGCAGCCACTTCAGGATCGATTCCAGTGTCAGTGGCTTTGGCGTAGAGAGATTTGCCACGCTTTTTCTTAGGTGCTTCATCCTATACATTTTTAAAAGTAAAATAAAAATAGAAGTAATTGATAGTTGTTAGCTTTAATGAAATATTTCATCACAATCAGCAAATGCATATATCTGATGGTTCTAATACAGTACATTGTATAAGAGAAAATGAACATAAGATAATCAACAATTAATTCAGGGAAAAGGCACAAACTTTGAAGTTTCAATTTGGCATTACATAATTCCACTTCAAAAATTAAATATATCAAACATTTATAAGAAAAACAGCATGGTATCCAGAAGGCATTTGTATTTGTTTAATATATCAATAAATTTTAGAAAATTTCATGGCAATTGACCTGTAATTGATATTCAACATTATGCTAGGAACATAGTCCAAAAACGACCACAAACACTCTCATCCTTTGCAAAGGATGGTGCAAGCATGTATTGATATCCAACGCTAGGCCAAAAACAGAGTAAACTGAAATCACAAACACTCTCCACCTTCGCAAAGGATAGTGCCCAAGCATGCATTGATGTTCAACACTAGGACAGGACCAAAGTAAGAAGAAATCATAAACAAGCTGATCATTTGCAAACGATAGTGCAAGCCTACAAATAAAACTTTACATAAAGAATGAACTTGTTACAAACGATAGTAAATGTTAGAAATCTCGTATCGATTGGAAAATATGACCAAATGCTTTATAAGGTTGAGTCATGTCAGGAAAAGAAGAAAAAAAACATAGCACAAGAATTCATTAACAATATATTCAAATTTTAAAATATAGTGATTATGAGTGTCAAAATGCACTGGTCCCGATGGACCGATCTGTGTAACCTATGAATTTAGGATGGCAAAATGGTTCAGCCTATCCTGTAGCCCACTTCATCTCTAACACGCCAAAAACGGGATAGGATAGGTTGGTCCGTGATAACCAGGACAGGCTGATGGACTGACGGACCACCCCGCTAATATTTTTTTATATATCTAAATTATATATATATATTTAAAAATATACAGCTTTAATTATATGAATAATTTTTAAGTTGTTATTTATTAATTAATATTTTTATTAGATAAATTAAAAAATTATTATATTTATATGTTAACATACTTAATTATAATTAATAGTTTAAATTTAATTGGTTAATATTTATATTTTAAATTATAATATTATAGTATATTTACATATTTCAATAACATGAAATAAAAAATATAATATTTTTAATTATTAATCATTTTTGTTTTTATTTTAATATATAAATATTTTTTTAAAGTGGGTCAACTGACTAGCCCACCCTTGGTCCGTCGGGTTGAGGGACTAGAGGGACAGGCTAAAACGAGTTCACGGGATAAAACTACCAACTTATCCCATCATTTTTAGGCGGGCTGGCAAACCGACCCTTCAAATCTAACCCGTTTTGTCATCCTTACTATAAATAATGTCAAGTCAAACTTTAAAAAAATGGCTTAAATAGAAACAGGTCTTTCTAGCCTAACCTATTCAGCTTGACAGCCATAAGGGCCAAGGCCAAGCTAACCTAGAGGCTAATGAGTTGGTCCATATAATAATAATAATAAATAATACCTTTTTATTTGCATATGTCAGATTATAATTTTTGAAAGAATAAAATATCCTAAACATATTCTTCCTTAATCGTCTTCCCTTCCTTGTTGTTGTCGTCGCACTCCAAACATTTTTTCTTTTTTTTTTTTTTACTCTGCAACCACAACATAGAAACAATATGAAAACACTCACTCTTTCCATGTGACTTCTCAAGTGATTCTTTTTGCCATCTGTGCGCCCCTCTGTGCACCTCTTTCCATGCCTTTATGCACACCTTTGCATGTCTCTTCTCGTGCATCCATGTGCCTTCTTTACATGTATTTCCATTTTTTTATTTTAACTTTTGATTAAATTCTCACTTTTCTTTTACTTATTCTATAAATTATGACAACTTTACTTGTACTACAAAAACTTCTTCAATTAGTAACTTATCTATTAATAATAGCAGTTTGTTGTGCTTAATAATAATAAGAGAGATAATGTTAAAGGAAAAGGTAGAGAGCCTAAGAAAGCAAAAACCATTATTTTCCAAATCTTGAAGTGGACTAAATTTGTGGGATTTCCAATATTACCCCTCGTATAAACGATATAAGTGGTTTGATAAAGGGTATAATTCAATCTTACAAAACCAACTTGTAACATGAGTTTTCACCTTACTAGAACTTGGTCATATCTCTAGTCGATGTAGAATCTTCAACACTAACTAGTGATTAAATAGAGGATACCTCAAGATTTAGAGGTTGTGGAGAAAATTGGACAAGGTCTGACAATGTCAGTTAGAAATTTTTTTGGGTGTTAGATTAGAAAATTATGCAAACGAAGATTGAATTTGACATAAATGGAAGGATGAAATTTGTCTAAGTGTCTGCACAAGTTTTTGAAGCAAATTTGATTCCAAAGGCAAAGGTTAAATATCTAGGGTAAAAAAGAAAATTGTTAAGTGTTTAAGTATTAGAAGCCCTAAAGATTTTGAGGCAAAAGGTGGAGAAATAAGATATATGACAATATTTTAGATAGTCTACCATATGCAAATTGTACACATGTATATATCTTGTCTTTCTATCATTAGAGTGAAAAATTTGTCAATGTAGTCATTTTTCCTTGGTTGAATACTACATTATACAAATGACCAATATGGCTACTTGTTTATGAGTGATGAGTATGTTCTCAAGGTTTAGGTTATAGAATTGGAGTCAATGAAAAGATGAAAGTTTCCAAGTTTACAGGGTGACAGAAACAATATCTATTGTTGGAGATCCCACTTGACTAGAAATATAGTCAAATTATAATATGTAAGTGAGCTACAAACATCAGGTTTAGGGTTTTGGCCCTCGTCACTGCATTCTTGAGATGTTCATTCATTCTAGGTTAAGAGAAAACATTTTGTTCTTCTACAAATGTGACAGAAATTTCTAAACATAACTGAATTTTCTTGTTCAAATTTATTTCTCCTAAACTAGATCATTATGCTAAACCAAGACTTTCAAGTAAAGTAAATACTAAAATTGACATCTAGGTTATCTAACACAGTAATTATGAAGCAATATATAGAACCAAAGGTTGTATATGAAGAACCTTTTCACATTGGATTAGAGTTCAAATCTATATTACAAGTCAATAAGAATATAAAAATCCTAATGAAACAACACAAGGAAACCAACATAGTAAACATTAAATTCTATAAAGTAAAAACACAAAGCAATCAAATATCAAATTTAATCACATTCAAGACATATGCAAGATGAAACAGAGATTATCAAATGTTCAAATTCAATCATACCTCTATATTAGGCCACAAAGTCAATTCCTCAGCAAGCATCTGGAGTGCAGCTCTATTCTTTGGAATCTTTCCTTCATTGACCTAGTAAATACAAAGCCATTATTTTGTTTTCCTGAAATCAGTAATTGACTTACAAATCCAATGTCACATTACACAAGATAGCATCACAGAAAATAAATTGCTGATAACTGTCTCATTCTTAACATTTTGAGTTTAGAAACATATAACAGGCAGCTAAAAATTACGACAAGAAATGAACAGAAGTTAAATACTCTGACACTTCTTATTTTAGTACATAATAGTCACAGGTTGATTTTCAATTTACAGGATACTCAGCTCAGTCTGAATTAGAATAACCTACTCTGTTGTGCTCATTGTCTTCAAAAAGAATCCCATGATTTGGGGTTCCTTTCAAACACTATAAGTAGCACAACACTGCATCCCATGAGAACTTCACAGAGAATACATGAACTGAGTTGGCAGATTTGTCCAGACATGTCATGGTAATATAATTAACAACCCATGAAAACCATGCACAGAGGCCACTTCACAAACCAGAAAATAACCAAAAATGACCAAATCAAATAAGAGCATGACCTAGTTCATGTGCTTGTAAAGGTTTATTTGTGTGTGTAATTATGTGTGTGCACACATGCTGAAAAGGTAAAGGAAAAGGGGAAAAGAATTGAGGGAATCATGTCGTTAGATAGTTATCGCATTTATATTTATTAAGACTGGATATACAATATATTATAGTACCCTCCATCAATGACATGCATAATACATTGTACTTAATTCTAAACAGGTTGGATCCTAATACGTTTTGAAAAGCCATATATCAGCATCCAAAAACTACAAGATGTTCAGTCCAAGCAATATTTTGAATAATCTCTCCAGCTTTCCTCCTTTAAAGCACAATTCTGACAATCATGATTATGGAAGAAAAACTCACTTCTTCCAAAGCATCAACTAGATCATCTCTTGTTGGGCCTTCAGAATATTCAATACCAAGTAATCTTCTTCTCTCAACTTCTCTGGGGTCCTCAATCATTATGGTTAATTTGACCTGGAAATAGTATAGAGAAAGAAAGACTCACTGGATCTTCATAGGCAAAGACAATGTGATAGGGATACACAGTGGCGTAGCAAGAAAGAATAGTAAAAGAAATAAGTTTATTTTTACCAACCTCCCCTAAAGAAACGCACTCACTTCTATTTCTTCTCTTCCATCACATCGGAAATCTAAAGACAGAAATGGTCATACGACAATTCTACTCTTGCGTATTTTACTCAGATATTCCAAATTACCACCTTTCACTTTCAATATCCCTTTTAGAATGAATCTTAATCAGAAAAGTTAAGGATTAGGAAATCCTTAGTACCTGTCTTAACAAGCACTATATATACGCGTTTATTTCCGCTCCAACTTTTTCCACTCGACAATTATCTCTCCCCCTACACACTATCAGTATGCCCTCTATCTTACAAGGTCGTCGGCATTTAAGACACCATAATTACCCTTATCAGCAAGCACAGTACTGATCAGAAAGCAAAATGAAATTAATGAAAAAAGTACCTCACCGAAGAGCATGTCCCGGTTTTTCCTGAGAAGCTCCAAAACCTGGAGGTGAGAGCAGGAAAATGCAGTAAGAAACCGGAGAAAAAACAAATAAAGGAAAATAGAAAATTTAAGAAGAACAGAGATACCCTTTTGACTTGGGCAACGTATTGAAGGTCCTGAGGGGTTGGTTCATCACCATCGTCATCACGTTGCTGATCCGGCAGAGAAGAGACACGCAGGTCTGCGTCTTTGTTCCCCGCGGACGGAACAAGGGAAAGGATTGGGCGATGGCGGAGCCTGGTGAAGGATACTCCATCGGGAAAGAGAGAGCGGGAAGTGTGGGCGTGGAAGGTGAGAAGGGAAGGAGGTGGTGGCAGCGTGAGTGACCATGCCATTATCCTATCATGTGTTGTTTTGTTCTTCCTTTCTTTTTCTGGCTGTGGTGACACTCGCACTTTCTGCACAAGCACCACCAACTAATCTTCGATTACATGTGTCAGCAGCATTATTTATATTTATATATTATACATATTTATTTTATGTAATTAATCTTTACAGTAAAAAAATATTTTTAAAGATACAAATATAGTTTAGATTAATATGAACAATTCATAGCAATTATGAATTAATATTCAAGTTATTACTTTAAAATAACTAGGAAATGTAGATTTCACATTTTTTTCGTCGTTAGGAACATGTTATTAAATTTATAATTCAAAAATAACATCATTTTATCAATATTGATCTGATTAACATTTATTAAATTTATAATTCAGAAATAATATCATTTTATCAATATTTACATAACTAGCATATTTTTACATACACGATTAGAATTTGGTTATGAGGAAACCGAATTCTAACATCTCTAATTAATATAATTTTTAAAATAAAATAATATTTATTAAATATAATAATTAAATATAAAAATATATATTTTATATAAAATAAATATATAAATATTATATATATATATATATATATTTTTTTTTAATTTATTTATATAATTATATGAAATCAATATAAATATATTTTTTAAAATAACATAAAAATATATTTATATAATTATATTATTAATATATTTTTATAAATATAGTAAAAATATATTTCTATAAAAAAATATTATTTTTACTTATTAAAATTATTTTATATTAAAAATATATTTAAATAATATATATAATTTATTTATGTAAAAATGTTATATAGAAAGATATAAATATATATTTATTATATTTTATGATATTTATAAAAATATAAATAAATATTTAAATATATATATATATATATATATTAAATATATTTGGATTTACTATATTTATAAAAATATATTAATAATATAATTATATGAATAATTAAAAAAAAATATATATATAATATTTATATATATTTTTTATATAATATATATATATATATATTTGATTATTATATTTAATAAATATTATTTTATTTTTAAAATTATATTAATTAGTGAGGTTGGAATTCGGCCTCCTAAGAATCGAATTCCAACTGTGTAAAAAAATTGTGCTAGTGAGATAAATATTAATAGAATGATGTTATTTCTGAATTATAATTTTAAAAGGATGTTAGTGAAGAAAAAAAATCTCAAAATGTTTAACTTTTTATAAAAGTGTGCTACTCATGTAAATATTATATACAGTATGGTATATATAAAAATTTATATTAAAATAATGCTAAATAGGAAAAAAATCCTAGTTTGCATCCATTAACTTTCGATTAAATGTGGTCTTAGTTCCTAAATTTTTAAACCAACTAAAATTAACCTCTCAATTATTTTAATATATGTAAATTATATCATCCCATTAATGCATATAACAATATGATTAGGGATTTATCTATATTTTATATTTGTGAACTTATTTATTAAATATGGACAATTTCTTTTATTTTATTTCTTGAAATTGTTAAATTTAAAAAAAAATTAGATATTGGTAACTAATATTTTAAGATACAATTTTATAAGCCATACTTCACAAATAATTTTTTTATTGTTGATCAAAACTTTAGGGAAGAATATTTTGTTTTTTTAAGTTGTTTTTTAGTTAATATTTTTAGTTTAGTATTATTTTTTTATATTAAAGACATTTATTTATTAACAATTTTAATATATATATATATATATATATATATATATATATATATAATCAGCAAAAAAATTTGGACTTAAACAAAAAGACAACAAAGTTTCGTTGAAACTATATTTTATAAATAGTAGGACGTACACTTAGTCAATGTCAATTTATAAATAATAATATAAAACAAATATCAATAACTCGTTAATAAGAAAATGAAAATGTTAAATTTAATTTTCTTATATAATATATTAATATTTCTCTCATCACTATATTAATATTTAATAATTTAATATATTTATTAATTATTTAACATTATTAAAATTTAAATATTCAATAATTATTTATTTTATTAATTTTGTAATTATTAAAAAATAATCTAAAAAATTATATATATATATATATATATATATATATATATATAAACGAAAGTCACAATTATATATAGTAGGAAAAAAAATATCATTCAACTAAAATCATTATTGAAAAGACGATTTAAAAAAAATCCATTAAAATAGTAGATCAAACCTAAAAAATATTAAAAAAAAATTGTGATAAAGTCATATATTGATAAAAAAAAAATGAGTCATCTTTTAAAACACCACTTTTTGATTTAGAATTTAAATCAACTACAATATTTTAGGATTAAAACTCAAGCTTTTGAAAGTTATATGATTTAATTGAATTTTAATTTATTTCTATTTGTGTTTTTCTATTTAGGAGAGAGGATCTAATAGAGTGGCTTAATTATTTGTTGAGTATTGTTTATCTCATTCCATTACTATTTTATTTGTCTATATTCGTGGATCAAACAAAAATTTACAAGGAATTTATCTAAAATTTGATGTTTTATAGTTTCAACAAAAATATTTACTATTCTACTTTATGGTCAAATTTCAAATTCTTAATCTAAAATAACACTCATCAAAATGTTATTTCTTTTCATTTGTTCATTATATGGGAAACGTCCCATATTTTAAGATTACTAAAATACTTGAAATATAAAAGTAATGAAATATTAGAATCATATTTTTAAAATACCCTATTCTTTTAAAAAATTATCGTTTTTATTTTAAAATTTACTAAGAATTTTGAAAATCAACATTAATACTGAATATATCATCAAAACTTATCAATCATAATACTTATATATTATAAGTTGTTAAACTCACTTATTAGTTTTACATTTGATCAATTATTTGATAAATAAATGCTGGAGATTTTATAGCATACCTTTCTTGGTTTTTGGCTAAGATCCAAGTATTTGTTCTTATCCATTTATTATTTACGTGGGAAATTGCAAGTATTTCTCTTTTTTTCTTTTTCTTTTTCTGATAGGGAATGAAATATTATAATAAATACACACAGAAGATCTTGTTCTTCTCTGGGTAGAACTTTAAGTAACTCTCTTCCATGCAGCAACCAGTGTTGTTCTAACCATTCATAAGTATTAGCAAAGTCAGAAGAGTCAACATAATAGGAAATAGAAAACATTCAAATAAAAGTTCATTGAAAATGTTGTTATAATGTGTTTGAACTCGGTTAATAGTTCAAGATTTCACCAAATATTTGATGAACTCGCATCTGACGCAAAGGCAAAGTCCCACGTTGTTTATAGACGCATTTTTCCCATTGGGGGAGTCTATTTAAGAGATACCAAAGATAATAGTAGAAGATAGGTTTGATTAAATAAAAGAAAAAAATGGTAAAATAAAATAAAATTTATTGTATATTGAATAAAATATTTTTATTATTGATTTTAAGTAAAATAAGTTAAATTAAACTTGTTAAATAATTTGATATAAAATAATTAATTTATATTATAGATAAAAATGTAAATATATTGAAATTAATTTATATAATTTTTGGTATTTTATATAATATTTGATTTTCTTATAATTATAAAAATTTATAAGTAATTTTAAAATTAAAAAATGTTTTAAAAATTATTTAAATAATTAATTACAAATCATATAGAAATTTGTATTTCACATACTAATTAAAAAAAATTAAAATATAATAAAAAAATTGAATAAAAAATAAAACTATACATTAAAATTATACATGGTTAAAAAATTAAAATTTATTAATAACTTACATCATATTATTAATGTATTTAAGTAAATTAAAATTTTATTTAAATACAAAATAGATTTTATTATAAATAAAAAATAACAATTACATTTTAATATTAACTCATATATAATAATATTATTTTTTAATATAATTAATTATTCGTATTTAAACAATCGATTATTTATATAGATATAATCTATTAGTTATAATCGTAAATTCAATTATATTCTTTAATTTCTGGTGAATGTTTTGTTTCTAAAGTCATGAAAAATTATAATTTATGATTAAATTAAAATTTCAAGATATTTTACCAATTATATATATATATATATATATATATATATATATATATATATATATATATATATATAAAATAAAGGTGTTTCTAAAACGGTGGTCCCAATAATCCATCTTCCTAAATCCACACATGTAATTAAAAACAAATACAACACTTTCTCATTTCTCAATACATCCACTCCCTTCTTCATAAACAGCTACAAACAAAAGTTAAATGTTTTGATGCGTATTAATCATCAAAATTTTGATATGATTTTGTTGGTTTCTTTTCTTTTTTATGGATAAGTCAAAGATGTCTAGTCAATGTAGCCTTTTTAAAAAAATTTGTTGTGACATAATTGCATGAGATCAGTTGCTAAACATCCTAATTACTAATTGAACTCTAAAATATAATTTTAAGTCCTAGCTAGCTACATTCTTTTTTTTTTCCGTGAAAATATCATTTATCTATTAAAATAATGGTATTGACCGATTTGGTATAATATCATTTTTTTTAGGATAATTGTAAGTCCTAGCTAACTACATTTTATTTGAGTCTTTTTATATCATTTATTTGGTAAAATATGGTATGTCCTTTTGTATTATGCTTTTACTATCATATAAAATAAATATTAAACAAACAAAAAAAAATACTATTAAACTAGTTGAAAGGGAAGAAAAATTATAGAGCACAAGATATACTGTCAGTCTCTTTTATTAACATAGCATTTTATTGGGATTTCAGAGAAGTTCTATTAACCAAACTTCAAGTACTCCACTTGATGACTGATGTGCCCTTGGGACAGACATTAATTGTCTCTTAACCAAACAATATATTTATTTTCATTAGTCTATGGTCATAGACACAGAGCAAGAGTTTCATTACCTCAATCATGTCATTTGGTCATTCATGAAATACAATAAAGAAAGGTACATCATTTTAAGGCTAAAGATATCACTCCTCACATGCTATGATTCTGCACCTACTTGAAAATCCAAGAGTCAAAAAATAGAGGGAGATAGAACCTTAGTCACTTGAGGCTGGAACAAAACTAGTGAACATTTAAAATGATCATAATCATTTGTATAACAGGTGAAATGTTCCATATACTTATATTTCTGAAAAACAGAATCCCAAATACTTATATTTCTGAAAAACAGAAATCTTCGGTTTAAATCTCAGGAGAAAGGCAGATATATGCACCAACTCTGTCAAATACCTTAGTATTAGTACTACACAACAACAAAATTTCATACTGGTGCCCCATATTCAAAAGAGAATGAAACAACAATATATTTATAAGCACAGTTACTAGGATGTAAGATTGCCTAGTTGCGTACACCAGGTTCTTACCCAAGTGGGGGCACTAACATGATGGAATAGCATTTATGGCTTGCCTTCTCCAAGTAGAGAGTTGAGTCTGGGACCTTAGTTAGTGAAGGCATTGGTCTCTTGAATCTTAGAGTGGAGGGTAAAGCGTGAGGAGAGCAGCAACCACCTCCCACCTCCAACAGGCTACTGCATCTACAGTCCATAATGGCCTGATGAGCCTAACCTGTCTGGACCATCACTGTTTTTTTTTTTTTTTAATTTATTTCTTTTACTGATATCTTTTCATCCCTTCAATCTCTTCCCTATCTTGCATAGCCTACTTCTTGTAATTTATCTCATTGTTTCAAGTTTTATCTTTGTTTACACTATTGAGATGGCCTCATTGAATGGCTTAGTAGTATACACTTCATAACATTACAAGTCGCACTCATAAAATGAATCCACATAGTGTTAATAAACCCTCTGACAAGGTTTTTTGAATGTTAAGCTCGGTTATGCTATATTGTGACCCAAGTGGGAACACAAGGTGATGAAACACCTCTGTGGCTTGGCTTTAATGGATGGGGCAAGGGACTTGAGTGAAGGCACTGGTTTCATCAACCCACAATGTAATATTTACATTAATATAGACATTTTTCTTTGATTCCTGTGCTATGAATTAACAGCCAACATTATTACTTTGTTAGACCCAATAACTATCTGAAGTACAGTCGTAATCATAGAAAAATGCAGTAAGCAGTGGCGTGTTGAGAATTCAAATGAAAGAGAAAGATGAGTAAGGAATAAGTGACAAATACTCGTAATTAAGATTTTTGGTTAAAAGTGGGTGATATTTTATTATATGGTTTATTCATGTTTCCATACGAGAATCTTCGATGCAACGAGTGGTTGAAGGGAGTTTCTACTGCAGTTTATAAAGCACTTAGTGTTGTATCTTCAGGGAGTATTGAAAATTCCAAATTATAAAGAAGACAGCATCCATTGGGATTGGTGAATAAAAAGAAACAATGGGAAACATTTCTTCTCTTTGTGTTGACATTTCGGACATTCTGCAGATATTTACTGGAATGCGTCAATGTCCAATCCAAAGGCCATTACACTAGACAGATAGAAAAAGTAATTATGGGATGAAAAAGCAATTGTCTTGACTAAGCTGTTACTGGGTCAACATGACATGACTCGTCCAGAACTCTCTTAATTAGCGTATCATGATTGGTTGGGATATCACATTAGATTACTCCCCTTGATGCCATTTGGTCTTAAACTGATGCATTCCATGCCGTTATCTATAGGAATGGGGTTCAGCCTCAAGGAGTTAACTTTCACTCAGTTGTGGTTTCAGGAGAAAGGCAGAGAGATGCGCTCTGAGGCATGCCTTGCCTCAAGTTAAAGTTTTTTCACCACTTTCTTTCTGTTTTTATCAGTTTTTTTTCCGTTACAAGCTTTTTTTCTATAATATTATATCCCAACATACAATTCTAATTTTTTAATATAAAGAAACTATCTTTCTCTTCTTGTGGATAGACATTTTCCCTTAATCATTTCTTATGTAATGTTATTTAAGAATAATATGGTAGTGATTGTTACAAAATAATATCATGCATTTTAATTTACAATATGGTTAAGAAATTCATATAATAATTGTTTCGCTATATAGACATAACTAAAACTGAAGTTGATCATGTTTCAGCGTTTGAACTCAGTCATTAGTGTCAGATTTGATCAATAATACATAAATGCAGTGGCATACCTCATATTTATTATCTTATTTTTTTTCTATCTTCCACTCCATTCTGATTACATCAATCAATACAGAACACGAACATCAGTATATAATTATGAATGTGAAGTTATTCCTTTCAAATTTTCCGATTAGTGTAAACCTTCTGACATAAATCCTTCAGTTTGGTAACAATCAAAACAAGATAACCCATGAGAAATAAATGTTCACTGAATACTTACATTGTGTAGTAAATGATTACCGATTTCTTCTCATGCACAAAAAAAATTAAAAGAATGAAGCCATGATAGGATTTCTTCTCAAACAACTTGCATTCATTCAATTGTAAGATTTACTACTTTTGTCAAAAAAGAAGAATGCTAATCCACAAACATAAAGCTAAACCTAGAACACAAATAAAAGATTGTGATAGTTGTAGTTAGAGAACTAATCCACAATTGAATTAAGTCAAGTAAAAGTCTTAGCTCAAGGAATGAACTTACTCTTATGGACTAATTCTTATACTTTCATGTCAAAGTGAAATCTCAACTAAAACACCATCAATGTTTTAGTCAGAATGTTTGAAACTCAGTTAGAACAGACTAGAAACAAAACCTATAATCAAAATCAGTCACTTTTTTGGATCAGATCCACTGCCTGATAAGAACATCATCAAATTAGTTAAAAGTCAAAATAAATTGATATCAACTAATTTGGATAACGAAACTCAAATTTCAAATATTTTCTTCTGTTGATTTCCACATATTTTTTTGTTACTTGCTTCATGGTTTCCCATGCATACCAGCTCTCTCAAAACACACATTCTCCATGTACCCAATAAATAATAAAACTGATATTTGAATAAAAAAATTTCTGCAAAAATTGAACCCACGCGTGACAGGTACATACAATTTACTAATCCACTACATTCAAACTTCTGGTATTATATGCTGCATAATTTTATTTTATTTATTATTTGTACTGATTCATACTCTTCAAGTGACTCACTAGTAAATAAGAGAGAATCAATAATCCAGAGACCTAGTGTACCACCATGTCAATCTTCCAAGGTGTGATTATCATGCTCTAATAGGTCAAATATAACAACACAAACGTGAAAATCCAGTTCTAAGACAACCTACATAAACGTACACTAAATCGATTTTACTAAATAGATCGAACTTTAAACTAACAAAAAGAAGAGAGAACTTTGGAAGCCTTTAAGGGCTCCAATAGCCACTATAAAAGACGAGACTAAGTATTAATTTTTCCTTCTTTTTTTTTTTTTTTGCACGCGACGAACTAGAAGATTTCATTAAGCACAACCTTTCCAGAAGGTACATCAGCGCATATATAATACCTTTGAATTACCAAATACCAATACCCCAATAAATGATCAATGGCATGCAAACTATAACACAAATTAATTTTAAGCGCAAGCACAATAACTGATCAAAGATAGAAGGGTTTGCCAACGAGCCATTGGGTACTGGCTTTCTTTCTTTTATCTTTTCACTTTAGCCCGTTCACTTCCCTCCCCTTTTCTACACAGACTACCCTTGTCATGCATGACCCCAGCACCCCGACCTCCCTCTTCCCTGATAAAAAAAATGAAAAGCAAGCTGAACCATTGAAGCAGCCGTGCTAGTCTATCCTTGCATAATCTTTTCTTGTGCGGGATGTCGGAGGCATGCTTGAGACAGGAGGATCCATTCTCCGCCCTACAATATACTCCAGCCAAGTTAGATTGGTGTAGATACATCATAATAGTTTTTTTTTTCTTTTTTCTGTCTTTTCTTTTGTGAATTAATAGTCAATTTCATAAATAGCAGAAAACAGAAGTGGATGAAGATCCTTAGAAAACACAGTATTACATTACGGCAAAAAAATTTATTCATTAATGATTCTCACAATAACCAGTTGCTGTTTACCAAGAAAAACAAAAATATAAAGTTTGTCAACTAATCAGAAAAAAACCTCAAGATTTGCGTGATCCCTTGTGCTTGGAGTAATGTCATTTATAATGTGTTTGCAAGGAAAATTTTTAGAAGGTAATTTATTTTTATAAAAAATTTGAAATATTCTATAACAATATTTTGTTTGGGTAAGAAATTTAAATAGTAACAATTTATGGCAGTAATTTATAAGAAATTTATACTGTCCTCCGTTACAATTATTAGCACTCTCTTCCATACCTAGCATGTCCTCTACCGTGTTCTCCATATATTTGGCTACACCTATTTTGTGCATTATCTGACTCCACCTATAGATTAACTCTCTACAAAGTCACTTGTAATTTTCTTGAACACTTCTGTTTTTGCACTAAACATCAATAGTATTTGGTATTTGCTAACATCACTTTCTTTGAGTATACTCCTCTAGTTGTTCCTCCTGTTGCTCTAGTAGTCCCGTTTGTTGTCCTTGTTCCACCACCACCACCACTCATATTAGCAATGACAACAACTTCTGTTGCCGGTTCCTCTTACTAATCCTCCAACATTATTTCTTGGTTTAAAGGTCCTTCCACAACTGTCTCCTACACCTAAGCTTCCTATTGCCTAACATAGGTATTTGATACTCTTGCAACCCTAACCCCACAGCAGTTTATTGCTCTTCATAATTATCTTTTATCACCTATTTGGATTTTGTGTCTATTCTTCTGATAACTTACAGCTATTAGTTATGGATTTTCACTGATTGTATCCTTTCAATCATTAAATAAACCAACATGTGTGCAAAATTACGCACACTCAGTATAACCTACATAAGTGTTACCCAAGTAACATCATACAACCAAACATCAGACATTGTTACTAGAGTTCTTGCAAGAGACGTACAATGGCATTAGAACAAATCTTGGAATCATGAGTGTGGATGACTGTGGCAATTAGACAGAATCATGCAATTAGACATTAGGTTCTGTTATTATTTCTTCCATTTTTAGATGCAACATTTATTGGAAGAATTATTTAATCTTGATTCATAAATCTAAATCAGTGTAAAAAAACCACCTTGCATAAATTTATTTACCTTCATTGTACCAATTGCATAAATAAGAAATATAATTCAGTTTTTACTATAGTAACAATTCTATGAACATACCAAAGAGAGAAGGGAGAGTAAAATTAGGCAAGATTATATACCCCATGTCATACTGTTGGTGAATGAGTTATTCCTCGGAGAACGAGGGCCCACGCTGCTGAAACCAGAAGGAGCCTGAATCTTAATTTGACTCCAATCAGCACCCTGAGGGGGTCTACCATGTGTGTATCTCTGAACAGATTGGTGTCCAAAACGGCTGGGAGAATTATGTAAAATATGAGGCATGAGATGATAATGCTTAGACATGGAGGGTACATATGCTGCTTGAAGATCATGCGTCGGAAGGCTACCCATCTCAACATTAGTAAATGATTGACTTGGTCCATTTAATCTGAAGAACAAATTAATGACAGTAAAAAAGAATCCATGATAGTAAAACAATGATATTCAGATTTTAACTGGAAAGCAAATTATAAGGGATGGGAAATATTCCAAGGACTTTAATTCCTTGTTAAGTTAAACAAAGAAAAAGGTACGTAAATTGCAATAATATCAATGTTCCCATAATTTTACAACCAGAGCATACATGCTTTGTTATGCTGATACACGGAAGTTTTTTCTTTTCCCTGTTTTAAAAGCATATTATAAGCATATTATAGGGAGTGAAATTCGTCTGCAAATGTCCATCTGATGGGAAAATAAATCAACCCAGGCTGCAGCTAAGGAGAGCACAGTATGGAAAAACACTAGAACCATGGAAAAAGTAATGGAAAAATGATAACAAATTGTCAGTAAACAAACCACCTTTGCATGATTATTGGAGTGTTTGAGCTGGATACATGATTGAACCTTCCAAATCCAGCCCATGGTTCGGTAGATCCAAGATTCATACTTCTGCCAAACTCATTTGTCAAAGAGCTTTCATCTGAGCCATCATCTTGAAGAAGTAATTCATCACTGGAATGAAATTAAATTTAGTGATGAGAACATTAATATCATTCAATTGTTATGTTAGTAATTAAGTTCAGGGACTGAATTCTGTAAGATTCAAACCCATACTTAAGTCTTGTTCATGACTATCAGTGGCCAAAATCAATGAATTTCTCTCGACACTAAGATAGAATATTCAATCTTGATTAATATTATTATATAATAATATCTCCACAACATTATTCCAAAACTAAGCCCTTGATCAATATTCATAATATACTTTCTCTTCTTTCCATCCAAAATGATCATTTTAGAACAAAATTTTTTATTAATAATCTAAGCTCCTACAAACAGTAAAAGTTGTGCTCAGGTGATAGAAACAGGATAAAACACACGTATGACAGGAATATATTACTCTTCTGTGGATACTGAATTCAATGTATTGTGGTGGATTAAAATGAGGAAATGAAGAATTTAAACAGAAAATAGTCAAGATAGGTTATATGAAAGACATATCCTCACTCTTTCACTTCTTTCCTCCTCTATCTATCTTCTCCCCTAATTATATCGATTGCCTCATCAGCAACTGTGGCATTAACCATCACCTATCTGAGATCACAGTTTGTGTTGATTCCCTTATATTCATTCTGTTACATAAATGATAAGCCATATTCTCTCTAAGAGACCTTTGATCCTCTGCACTACTTCAAGATATACCTCAATAATAGCTGGAGTCTTACAAATAATTCCTCAAGGTGAAATTTAGTAAACCCCTTCCTACAGTCTCATATTCCTAAGAGTTTTCACAATTTGGATGGTCCTTTCATTTAAAAATGAGAACTAAATTTAGACCCTCTAAAGTGATTACGTATTCCTTCGCAAGATAAACCTCCTGTGCCCATTCTTATGATAGAATAACAGGTTATCACTGACTCTCAGATAGTGCAGAATTCTTAAGCATATATGAATGTAGAGTACGTCCTTCAGATAGATATTATAACTAACCTGATCAATCCTTTTCAAGGATCTCAACATCTCAAAATAATCAGGAGTGAGTTTTATTAACTTATTTTGTCAATGATTAGAGGTTGAAAGGTTAAATCTCAACATAGACTAAATCCCCAAGTAGTTTACTTGCCTTCTTTTCATCCTTAGTATTTCATCCAGTTTAGAACTTGTACCAGGCCATGTCTGATACTTTCATAGGTTTGAAGGTAAGAAGCGACCCAAATGTGACTTTGTAACATTGAGTATAGTGTCATGGACTATTAGGTTAAGTATGATACTATCAAACACTGCATTGTACATCCCCTACAGTTTGAACTGTTACCTGGGACGAGAAGATCATTCCCCAACACTAGTTACCTTCTACTCTGGTTGACCAGTTCCAGTTAATCCTTTCCAAGTGTATCATTACCAGCAACTTTCCCCTTTGCCCATAGATATGTAGAAAATCCCACACCAACTAAACATATGCCAAATTATAATATAAGTAAAGTGTAAACCTCACCTTACAAGTCAGTTTTGTAGGATTGAATCACGCACTTATCCATTTTCATGGCATGGTTATCAGAGGTAACGATCTTTCCAAATATGATATTAAAGCCTATCCTAATGATATTTTATGGGACCAATACAACCTATAAACCTTTTATTAAAAATCAGCCTTCCTCAAAGTGAGGGGGTGTGTTGGAATCGCCTGTTATCCTCCAAGTGAGGGTGTATTGGAAATCTCACATTGACTAAATATATGACCAAAGTAGTTTTTTAGGGTTTAATAGGCAGTGAGACTTTCCACACAATACTTTAGGGGCAAGTCATAAAGAAGGTACCGTGATATTCATGTTCCTTCTTGAACTTTGCAAGATTTGTAGCCATGGGCATAAGAGGACATTGTGATCTTGGAGGGTAGCTTGAACCCAGCCAAGGTAGGAAGACATTGGACCATCAAACCATTAGGGAGTGATTAGAGTCATTAAGTAGTGCATATACTTGAGAGGTGTCATTAGCATTGTTATGCTACTTGCCTGTTAACTCATACACTCATGAGTTTATGTGCCCACAACTTAACTATTTAACTTGGTTGTAAGCTCGCTGTTGAGCAAGCCAGGGTGAAGCTGCTTTGACTCGTTCGAAGTCATGTAGACTTGTTTGAACTTGGTCTCAAGTGTTTAGGAGCAAGTTTAGCAGCTAGTTGGAATCATAGTGCATGCTCTCACACACTTTCATGCCTTTCTTGATTTGATATCGCTGTGCATTAATCTGCTCCACAACTTTGACACCGGGTCTTGACTTCAACTTTGGTCTAAATTGAACGGTCGTTCAATTTAGACTTCGAGCATCTACTTCACAATGTTTAAAATATAAATTTTAGGTTTGGGAATATATTTCAATATATAATAGGTATATTAGGTATTTTAGTATTATTTTAATATTAAGCAAACACTTACAAGTTTACAAGTCAAATTTATGGGATACCATGATAAAAGAGAAAAGAGAAAAAGGAATTAGAGGAATAATAGGCAGAAAACAGAGTCTAAAGGCACTGCAATATAGGTTTATATGGACTTATTGTATCAATTACAAATAATTAGAGATGTTTCCACAAAATCAGAGATTTTGTTGCTTGTAAACCTCTAAATTAAATGTAAATATTGTATCCTTATTTTTCAACCTCTATCATGGTATGTTTGAGGTTCCCCTAAACCTGAAAAACTGTGACGTTGTAGTTGAGATTTTCATGCTCTCTCCCCTGACCCAGTTTCTTCATTATTCTCTCCACTCCAAATCATATAAACCCCCTTTGTTAATGGTCCTTGCTGACCCTCTCTAATTTTTTCCTTGTTGTAAACAAAAAATCTTCAACACGTAGGCATGACAGTCATATATAGAAAAATTAATGTTGCATGAAACACACAAGAAGCGTCCAAGATATCAATTTTAATTGAAAAAATAATCGATGACAAATAAGCGGTTTGGGAGTCAATTTTGTACCTATAATTAGGGTCCCAATCTCCAGGATCAGGCAATGAAATGCCTGTCTCTGCATTGTCATGAGCCAACTCTGTTGATTGTGAGTTCAAATTAGCACTGGGCTTAATCAAACATGAAATGTTCTGATTAGCGGATAATCCTCCACTTCCTCGCTGTTTCCGGTTTCCAGGAATACTATTTGACTGTAGATATGATGGTGAACTACCAAGAGCTTGTGAGGCTCCCTCAGTATGGCTTGTGCTGTCAGGATATTGACTTTGCCAATGTGAAGAAAATGTTGTTTCTTGACTTTGAGGACTTCCAGAATGTCCCCAATTTTTTCTTCTATTAAACTGGCTAACTGCAGCTGTCTTGCCTAAAGGTGATCCGTGAGAAGTTCCTCTTGCAGGAGATGTTGGTCCAAAGTGTCCTGGAGAACCAGCTGAAACCTGACTATAGGAACTTGGTGGAGTAAATTGAGATGGGCTGGCACCAAGGGGCAAGGGAGCAAAATTTCCAGCTGATGGACTTATGCCCAACCCATTCCCTGGTTGGTATTTAACTCTTCTCCTAGCATCAGGACTATTCCCAAGCATTGACATACTTCCCTGATTGTGCATGTTCATACCAGATGGGCCAATAGGCGAATAGTAAGCAAACATATTACTGCTTTCTCCATAACTTCCATAGCTGCTTCCATGCCCAATGCTATCATTATAGCTCCCATGGCTTCCTACACTTCCATAACTATTAGCAGGCTGATGTTGAACCATCTGAAAATGTGGACTGCTATAGAGGGAAGCTCTGCTTTTGCCCTGAACCTGTGGAAACAAAATGTAGTCAACTAGGAAGAATTGGACATAATTGTTTCAGAATTAAATATCATTCGCATAATTCCACCTTATGAGATAACTCAATTAAAAAAAAACTAAAGGTAGTCTTGTGATATATGTATGATGCGAATTTTCATTTAAGAAACAAAACATTTAATTCTACACTACCCAGCTGCTACCTGAAATTAAAGATTAGGGAGCATTCGGTGATTATTGAGTACGTTGTCAACTGGTGGAACTTTGATTTTATTATATTCGACAATTTTTCCATCAACTTTCTGTAATGCTATCAACCTTAGTATGTTATCATATCCTGGTTTTGGAGGGAGATAAACACTTTGTAATTGGAAGCATAAACCCCTAAAGTTGGCAATGGTATACAACAAGCCATGCCCCACCATGTACATGTCAGCAATCCATACCTCTTTGGAAATTGAATTCATGATCTTTGTTTCGTAATTACAGTCATTAGTAAGGGTGCATCTTTTCAACTTCAGCACATCAGGGTAATACTTGTCTTTTCCTTAATTTGTGATTAGAACTACCAACAATAATTATATGTGAAAATATAAATTAGTTAAGAAAATTAATAAAATGAATATATATGATTTTGTGTGTAAGTTCAATAGAAATTATAATTAAAACTGAGATGTGTTACGAACTAACAGTATAAGATTTTAATGTGAAAGCAAGAAAAATAGTCAACAAACTTATGGACTTAATCATGATGAAGCTCTTGTTAGAATTTAAATTAATTCCATCACCATTGATTAAAATAATATTATTTTAGCCCTGTACCCTTTACTAAACTCAAACAAGCTTTCTGAAACTGGAGAAATTTTTTAGACTTTTACACTTGAAGGATGCAAATGAAATTTAAAGTGTCTTTTACACTTTAGAAGAGTAATTAACACAACTATCTATGTTAGCCACACCTTAATTAATAATCACCCAGATTCCAACATAATCTTTCATTTATTATTTATTCATCCTAACAATTTATGGTGAACAAAATTTTAAAATTCCAACCCCTTTATGGGCTAGCATTATGTGACAAGTTGATGCATGTCACAAAAACCTAAAAGTTTTGGATCTAGACATAATACCTTTTCCCATTTGATTTTAACCCATTAATCTTTCTTAGGCATCCCCCACAAAAGCCTTGCTACCTTTGCAAATACAACCCCATGGCAGAGCAGTGTGCTCTGTCTGCAAGGTGGAGACTCACCCAGCTTCTGCTCTATCCTCAGATGGCCAACACCACAATGCCAAAGGCCGCCCTACTGCACTGAGAAGTATAATCTGGCCGATGTTTCCACTTATCTCCCTTTGGTGCCTACTTAGAAGATAGCCAAAGTCTTCGGTAACTGACAAAGGGATTGCTACTGTTAGTATGTGAGTTGGTTGGATATATGGTGTGAATGATGTTGTGTTAATCTCAATTTACAGTTCCATAATATAAAACTATTTTGCCAAATGCCTAAAAGAATATTAGGCTCAAACTCAAAATTCAAGATGGTATTAGAGTCTATTTTAGCAATTGTTGTATACTTATCAAATCACCTATTATCGAGTCATTATTGCACCACTCACAGATGTCTAGTTTTTCACATTTCGCACTTAAGATGTTAAGTCTTCTAAGTAAAAGGTGTGTGTTAGAGATCCTACATGACTAATGATATGGCTCAATTAAAATATATAGTGGGGGGCAACAACATGGTCATTACAATCTGCTGGCAGAACTTAATGGGAGGAGCTTCCTCTCTCATTCCCTTCCATACACCATAGAAACTTTCCTTAGTAAGCCCTTTATCAAATTAAGTGGTTTGCTTCCTTTTCATTACACAAGATACCATTGAAGGTTCTTTAAGGTAAGTTTTCTGCATGCTTTTCTTCATGTCGATTTGTAACAAATTTACTGAAACCTCTAAACCTTTCTCATAACCTCTTATTCTTTAATTCATATCATGAAAAAACAAACCATTTGAGGACCATTTGCGCTTGTCAAAATGGTTGAAGCACATGGATCCTTTTATCTCCACCCAAAGCACTTTCAAAGTTTTATTTCATTGAGACACCGAAACAAAGTAAGGGAGATCAGCACACTTATCCTTTAATGTTAGTATCCTGCATGAGGTCAAGTATGTCACATATCTCATGAGAGTCAACATGTGCATTGGTTTGAATGTCTGATTAGGAACTGAAATTCATGGTGAGTATAACTTGTATGTTGTTAATATCGTTCCTTGAATGTAACTATTATGTTTATTTTACATGCTTCTTGTGTTTGACAGCTATGATCATCGCTTTGTTTTCAAGGATACAAAACGTCAACAGGGCAGAGGGAACACTGCTACATTAGTTTTCTTGAGACCATTATGGGACAAGGTGACCATGCATGGGGAATCAAGAGTAACGATGTATGTGCTACACTAGTGAGATCTCCATTCTGCAAAGATGTAACTAGAACTATTATCATCTATTTCCCTGTAAAGGTAACCGTGGAGTTTTGGTTGCCTATTGATGCTACATGGATTGCCCAGTTATAAGCACCTCCCTATATATCTAGAGCATCTTTTGCTAGGTGTTTGATTCCAGATGGACCACATCCCATTACTTCTTTTCTTAGACATTGAGGATCTCATCTCATGAAACAATCCCTTCTATGGTTTCACGCCTGACTCTCATCATAAATATCCTCGGGAGTACTGTGTGTGGGTGGATATTGAGTAGTTACACTGCAAAGCTTTTTTGCTTGGGTTAAATGTTTTATTCCTTTTCTTTCTCAGTTAGTGGTTGGGTCTTCAGTTGTCAGGCCCAATACCTTTAGTTAGCCTTTCTATATAGATGTAAACCTACAACTGTGTAATTACTTTTTCACTTTAGTCAAATACATTTTCATATTCTGTTGGAATTCAGTTGGAGAGTTCTCCAGACCTTTTACTGGCCAAATAGGGATAAGGTTTGGTGCCAGTAGTTTCCACTCCCCATTTTTAATTACTTTCTTTTTGGTGTATTTTACAGCCATGAATTCCAATTTTTGAGATAGGCTCACGGGTTGAAATGCCTTCGGGCACTTGAATATTTCTTACTTTATATATCTTTATCCAATCTCTTATATATTTATATATGTTTCACTTTATGTATGATGATTTGGCAGGAAACACAACAAAATTACATGAAATTTTAACAAATTAATTAAAGAGTTTTCTTAAGATTGAATTATTCTGCAATAAAGATTATCAGTATCATGCTTGTTTCGATAAGCATGTGTAATAGTTTGATCTTAACTTGAACCCCAACCCTGTGTGCACGACCTTGCCAAGGCAGAATGCTGATCCACAAACACCATCTAGCTACAAGACTTCCCACTTAACTTACCAAGCATATCGACATGCATACTGGATTATGGTTCTTTATCACAACTCCATAATCATATTAATAGTGTATATCACTAAACTTTTATATGAAGCTGTTCCATTTCTGTTCATAAATGGTAGAATCATTGATTAGAGTATACAATTCCACGGGACTTTCTCTTTGAAATCATTTTAACATGCTCTCTTGTCCTTCACAAGTTAATGTAATTTTAGGAGAAGAAAATTATCTTTATTTTTTAAAATTGATCATACTGAGAGAATTATAGAGTGATGGCAATGTGAAATCCCAACCACCCCTGATAGGAAAATAGAAACAAACATAGGAGGAAAATAAAGGAGAATCAAATCATATCTGCATAATCTCTTGATCTCAACTAACTAAATTTCCTAAAATACAGGAGAATAAAATCAATCAGATTAGAATAATCTGATTTGGATCTCAACTACCTAAATCTTCTATAACTCTTATTTGAAATTTAAATTTAAAATAAAAGTACATCGCACTATCAACAGTTACAAAAGTTATCATAAATGTATCCACTTCACTATACTTGAGAACATAAAGAGAGCAATATTTAGTGTAGTAGCATGCTCACATTAGGTGATAGACCAGCGGCAAACCAGTGTCCTCCTCCAGGATGATTATCCACCTTGATATTTTGAACTACTGGCTGCAAAGTAACAACAAATAAAAAGAACTTTAAATAATAAAGATATTGAAATTTATGTAATGATCTGATTAAATAACTAACTACAAGATACAACAGCAACATCCACATAAAATAGAGCGATCAAATGATATGGAATATAGCAACAAATAACATGAGAACAAAACTAAATGAATGAACTTTGCAAAACAATAATCAAATACTATTTGAAAGAAAATAAGTGTTGCGATAGAGAAGAAAAACATGCATAACACTGTCTTATCACAAAACTTTATATTTTCAAAGAATAGATCCAATTTTCCTACAAACTATATTTACATTATATATTGAACTGAAACACTTAACATTGAGCCTAGACACATTGGTAAACAATTTTAACACAAGAGATACCAATTCAACTGCAGATTGGGTAGGATCAATAACAGATCACAAATCAATAGCAGGATCATTAATCTCAAATGTACTTAACCTAGCATGTCATTTTGAGTTGGAGTAGTTATTCAATTCATTCCTCATGATGTTAATTGAAATCTTGTGATTCATATTTTAAGATACTTGAAAAAGGCTCCAGGACAGGAACTGCTGTATAAGGATAAAAGAAATACCAAAATTTTTTGGTATTGCAATACTGACTAGGCAGGATCCCTTTACCTAGGCGCTCCATTGTTGGATGTTGAGTATCCATTGGAGGAAGTTATTTCTTGGGGGAGCAAGAAACAAAATGTAGTTGCTTATTCTTAGGGATGGCAAATCAGGACACTCTGTCCCGTCTCTAACCCGCCAAAAACGTGATGGTGTGGGCTGACTTACCATAGTCAGAATAAGCTATAGACCCTAGTCCATCCCGCCAAAGAGTGGACCAACCCATCAATATATTTTTTATATTAATTTTTTTAAAATTTATCTTTAATTATATATATATATATATATATATATATAATTTATAAGTTTTTATTTATTAATTAATATTTTTATTAGATAAATTTAAAAAACTACTATATTTGTGTGTTAAAATATCCAATTATAATCAATAATTTAAGTTTAATTTATTAGTATTTATAATTTAAGTTTAATTTATTAGTATTTATAATTTAAATTATAATATTATAGTATATTTGCATATTTCAACAACATAACACAGAAAAATATAATATTTTCAATTGTAATCCTTTTTATTTTTATTTTAATATATAATTTTTTTTTAAAAACGGGCAAGTAGGTCATCCCGTCCCGCCCTTGACCCGTCGACGAACTAGGTAGTAAGGGCCAAATGGGCTAACAAACTAAAACTACCAACCCACTCTGCCAATTTTAAGGCTTGCTGACAAGTCGGCTCGTCAGACCTAACCCACTTTGTCATCTCTACTTATTTTAATGTTAAAGCATAATGTAGGCAATGACTTCAATCACTAGTTCCTAATACAACCTTTTATGTTGAGTACCATTGGGCTAGGTATGTGGATAATAATGTGGATACAAAAAGAGAAATAGATCCTATAAAATAAGTTGTATTTTTACATATACTCCATAGACTAAGTCAACATAAATAAGAACAAGTTCAGCTTTGGTATATATCCAAATGCCAAAATGTTAGAACAAACTGTGAAGCTTTTATTATTTGGATTCGAGGATGTTCTTGGGACTTTTGCGTTAACTGAAGCTTACTGAAACTGCTGAAGACAGGAGCAGGAAAGCTGCCTGCTGTAGGGTCAGTCAAAAGAGGAGGCTTATTTGATTCGATAGTAAAGATAGCTAATAGTATGCTGCTTGTAATATAGCACATTCCACTGCAGAAGTGTATAGCGGGACAGAAAAGATAATCAGAGAGCAGTGAAACTAACAATGCAGTCAGAGGCAAAAACAGCAACATGCTGTGATCAGTCTTATGCAACAAGCTCTTCTTTAACATTGCTCTACTCTACCCTTGGCCGCCCCACTTATCCCAACCAGAAGGAAGTTGTTCTGTTCCTATAAATTTTGAAAATTTAACTAAAATAGTCCATCTCAACCTATTTCAATATGTTTTAGCTTGCCCAAAATAAACAAAAGGGAAACAGGGTTTGCTGGATGAATAAAGATGGACCTCGGGAGCTCATTTAACACATCTACAGGAATCCCAATTTCACAATTTTAATTTCCATATCGCATTTATCACTACAACAATGTATATCTTACACTACAGCCGTTTCAGTGCAAACTTAATAAATCAAAATCGTTTCAATTATCTTCTCTAGTTTGATCTTCTTGATAAATTTGTCATTAATCAAACATCTAAAACAGGGTACCCAAATATTAGTTTTGCACAAGCACTGAAGCATTAAAGAATAATTTAAAGTACAGTTAGTACTGAATAAATAGTTTAGCCTAAAAACTATATGCTTTAAAATGGAGACATATTTACCATTTGAGGAGTCTCAGGGGGAGGCTTGTAAGGATGTGTAAAAGGTTCCCCAGTTACAAAAGGGTGTTTTGAAGCCTGTAAGAAATCAAACTACCATTTAAAGTGCTTACAACTTAAATTTTGCATCAACTATAGACAAATTTAGTTTGAACAATAGGTTCAATATGAAAATAAGACAAATTCAATTAGTACCTGAAAGGGTGACCAGCGTTTTGAAGGATCCAACTCAACAAGCCCTTTCAAAAAATCAATAAGAGCCAGTCGTATTTGACTTTCTATTACAAGTTGAGTATATACAGCATTGATTAGTTCAATCAAGGAGATTAAGGGAAATAAAACATCCACACATGCACAGAAAGAATCCTTCTTGGGAAGCTAACCTTTGACAATATCTTCTTTAGGAAGGTTTTTTCTGTAGGGATAGTTTGTAACAATTGCCTCTAGGTTCATATGATTAAAATACTCTTTTCCAATTGATGGCTTCTTCAATTCTCTCTGAACAAGAATCAGAAATATGATGGTTGATAGTCATGTAATATCAAAAAAGGGCCAAAGAGAGAAAACAATTTGAAGAGATGCCACAATTCTCAATTTAGAGAAAGACCCAACAGCAAAAGAAATAACATGGAAGACTTACAGCTTCATATTCTTCCACTGTCAATGTTTGATAAACACTTCTTCCATTTGTGGAACTCTCACTGATCTCTATATTCTGGAGACTCCCGATACACTTAAAGAATTTACTCGTGTTTTTGGCATCCCTTAGTACATAATCAGGTGGTTGTCCTCTACAATATATTTGCAACATATATAATTTAATCAAAATAGTAAACAAAAAAAAAAAGATAATGTGCAGACGAACCTGAATCTAATATTATTATTTCATATTCAAAATCCAAAAGCTACCTATAATTTTGTTCAGGAGAGAGAGAGAGAGGAATCTAAGGTGTGAAAAGACTTCTAGCGTGGGAGAAAGCAAGAAACATCATGTCAGTTATTGATGGATCCACTGCATTAGTTCAAAATAGTCTTGCAGTGTCTAACTCTAAACTCATTTTGAGCATTGAAACAGTGGTGTGAATCTCACCTTGGACCAGGAAGTTCGACTGGTGAACTGGCAACCCAGTCAACCAACTAGTCCAAGCAACACAATGATCATATGTGCATAAGAACCAGTGCAAAAAGGTTTGACTCTGCAAAATTTTTGCACAACCAGTGATACTTCCAGTTTTTAGTGAACAAAATGTGTCATGAATTATTAAAAAATAAATAAATAAATAAATAAAGATAATCAGCATTGGCCGAGCATCTTCGAAGTGAGGGGGACATGGCCCCTCCAAAAATTTTGTAACTTACTTGTACAAATATAATTTTGGTCATTCAAACTTAATGATCATTAAATATTCATGCTTGTATATTTACAATTTTGGTCTTCCACCTTTTCATATTTATTTATTATTTATTAATAACATGTTATTTGATCCCCAAAAATCATTGATGAAGATCCGCTTCTGGGAATCAGGGACAAAGACAAAAAGGATAGTTGATGGCATCTGCCAACCCTAATTGATGACTGACAAATCAAACAAGAGTCGTTAAGATCAACACCACAAGCATTACAGAAAACACTGCTGTGATACCAATAAGAAACACCTTCATCAACTGGATTAAAATCTAAACTCCAACCATAAAACAAGCTGGGATAAGGATGGGCTTGGGGTGTAGTAGACTAGGCAGCAAGGGTAGATCCTGAAGCATGATGAGAATATGGAAGATACAAAGGAGTTGTTCCATTTGTAAACAGCACTTTATTAGGATAAAAATATCTTCAGGATCTTCATATTGATTAGAATAAACTATTTTTATAATGTTATTCTATATTTCATCATATTTTGTTTCCTTATTTTTTAGAGATTGATTAATATGAATAACAAGAGCTCAGAATGTAAATTATGTCATTGCTATCAATAAAATTATTTTGTGTTTCTTTGTATAGTTGAAGTTGGTATCAAAGCTCCTGCTCTTGGGAGCTCTATTTCCGCTTCCACGGAAATAGCAAAACAATGATATACCATCCTTGTCCACCCAATCGGTGCCATTGATACCGGTGATAGGCCAGAGAGGTGAGCCCCACATCTGCGATCACAACAAAGGTAGATGCATTGTTAGAAGAGCCACTAGGTGCCCCCACCAGTACTGGCATGTATATTGCTACACGCCAACCTTCTCACTACCTCTTTCAGCAGGTTTTCCTTTATTTCCTTTTTCCCATTGTTCCACCGGATCTTGGTATGTCTAAGATGAAAATCATCCCTCAGGTCCTAATGATCTGCCAGATGTGCCAGGTCCCTACCAGTCTGATGGCCAAAATTATTTGCATTGGACCCAGTAAATTCGAGGATTCTCAAGGGTTGGTTGAGAATAGAACACATTGCGGGTGGAGGACCAAGGTCAAATGACACTAATTTTCCAATTTGGGACGATGAAGATTCACTAATTATGACTGGCAGTGGCAGTCCATGATTCCTGAGATAAGTCAAAACTATATGTTCTATTCCTATGCTAAAGACATAAGGGATGACTTAAATACTCTGTCTTTGTTGTTCTCTAGTGTCTTCGCAACAGAATGCTATAATTTTGAAGGGAACCTCATCAAGTCAAGATTTCACAAAAGGGTTATTCATTCAACTAGTCTGGTGTTTAGACCATCGATATTTTACAAGTGTTTCTTTGAAAAACATATTAAATGTCATGATTTAAGTGGAAGGAAGACATGCCCCTAGCTGGAGGATAAATGTTAACAAAATATGAAGTTATTAAAACCTCAATGTAGGATTTTACCCCTGAAATAAAAAATGTACAACCATTTTGCTTACATATATCATTGCAGGGAAACCCTTGTTCTACAAATTGTACAGCTAAAGAATTAAAATGTTTCCTTCAGAGAAAGTGGCATACCCAAGTATTTCAATCATCCGTTTCAAAAGATCAAATTCTGAAGCCCCAGGGAATAATGGTAATCCAAGAAACAATTCCGCCACTATGCACCCAAAGGACCACATATCAATAGCTGTTGTGTATCTAATAAGAGTTAAGGACTAAAATGGAGCTAGAAGTGCATCAAAATAACCTGAAAAAATAAAACATTAAGCAAAAGAAAACAAGACTTCTGAAGAGTATACAATACGACTGTGAGACATTCCTAAGATCTCAAGTGTCTTAAGTATATTTGAAAGCATGAGGATAATGATAACCACATTCAAACGTTACCAAACATGAAATAAGATATATTAAGAAAAAGACAACGCATCATAGAATCATTCATTGCCTCACATCCCAAAGAAATGAAAGGAAAATATGGCACAGGCTGATGGATAATAGTTCCAGTTCAACAGAAAAGTAAACTCGATGAAATAATGAAAAGAAACCCAAAAGCAAAAATGCTAGAAAAGAAAGGCATCAGCTACAGATTCCATCAGTTAGGATACTGATATCCAAGAAGAACCTCGGGTGATCTATAGTATCGACTCTGCAATAAAAACAGAGAATAAGGGTAGTTACCAGACAATTATAATTACAATAGGAATTATCATAAATCCTACTTTCTACAGTAAATATAAACCTGAATATAAGAGTAAACAGTGCGATTTTCCATGCATGCTGATCCAAAGTCAATAATTTTTATTTCTGCTGGCTTCACAGTGCTACATATGAAACATAAATACATAAAATCTCACAATAAAATAGCTGCAGCATACACAGAAAAACAAAGGAAAGGATTTATTCCTATGAAGTGAGAGACTCGCCTTGCAGAGTTAAGTGAAGAGTGATAACTATCAACTACAAAAGTAACCTTGAGATCGTGATAAATGCATGCTCGTGTATATAATAAATTATGTAGTTATTTAACACTCAACTGTCAATTTTTTAATCAATAGTTATATATCTTCACTTTACTCTAAAATAATCCCTCATTTTAGAGGTGTTAAATCCTTAACAAAATAGCTGCAGTATACAGTTATTTATGAGCACCTTCAAGCAAGAAACCAACCTCGTACATAAAAGAATGTTTTCTGGCTTCAGATCACAATGAATAATTCCAGCCTCTTTTAGCAGAGCCAATCCGCATAAAATCTTACATAAAATTTTAAGAAAATTGATTATGATAAATTAAAACTACCAAAGGACAAAGTAGAATGACAAATCGTTGTACCTGCTTGGAGAATAGCTGAACAATACCAAGTGATAATCCCCTAAAATGATTCATCTTGATAAGCTCATACCTGCATAGTACACAATGTCAAAGCTAAACTATACAAAGGAAAATAAGAAATCTAGGATAGCCATGCAAAACCAACCAAATATGTTTAGTTAAGTAGAATGTGAACACCATTCAAGCTTTAAATGCATTCTCATTCCTAATGGTTATTAATTCTACATGGAAAGAAAAAGGGTCCAAAACTTACAAGTTTGTGTCCAACAATTCGAAGCAAATGCACAAATGTCGTTGATATACAAAATAATCATATATTCGAACAATGTGATGCTTATCCTCAGGATCATACTTCTTATTTAACTGCAGGGGAAAAACAGCATACATGAGCAATTTCTCACGGCCTTCCAAGAAAATAGAAAGCATCTTGATAATAACAAGTCACAAGAGGAGTATACCGTTTTTAAGATAGTTACTTCAACCAGTGCTTGTTGATAGTATGCAGGTTGATTTTTAATGATCTTCACGGCAACAAAACTGTTGGTATCTGAATCCCAGCATTTAGCCACCTGTCCAAACGTCCCATGGCCAAGGAGATCTTTGACAACATATCTGCACCACATCAAAATGCAAAGTTTATAAAGACATCCAAGGTTGTCAGATGACTAAGGTGGTATCGACCGAAAATAAACATTTAGCTTTTAGTACTCATAAAGAAATATATATATGTATATATATAATGACAACATAAAAACAAAGGATATATGGATGACAAACCTTTTGTTTTTCTCTAAATGGTTCAAGACAAAATTCACTGTCAAAATAAGATCTGAGTTTACATTATCATAGCCATCATTAAGCACTCCAACTGATGGGCTGGTCAAAAACCTTTTCGGATTTAGATCTTCAGAATATTTAAACTGTGGATTGCATTTTTGGTATGTTTGAACTATTTCCTTGGTCAGTCTAGACACCAACTGTAAATGTGAAGGTGAGCATCAGTTCAATATTTTAGGTATAAGCTCCAAACAGCCAGATATAAACAACAACAAAATAATGTATAAAGTTTTCATCTTATTCCATAATTATGCTACTGATAAATAAATAATTAGAAATGAATAAGAGAGAAAATAAATAAACTATAAAACAATTCCTAGACAACAATACATAAATCTGTAGGGAGGAATTATAGAGGCAGATGTGTGAATATTGTATAAGAGCAGTTAATCAATTGTCTCTTGTCTATTTAGTTGTAGTTATATAGCTGTCACCATAACAACTGTACCTATAAATAGCTCAGTGTAACACTTTGATCATTAAGCAATAATATCAGATATTTTCTTCATCATGATTATCTCTAACCATTAGCATGGTATCAAGAGCTTGAAGGTCCACGAAAAATAATACTTTGCTTCTCTGCTCTCTTTCCCCTTTCACCCTCAGGCTCTCGATTTATGAGAAGCCTTTAAAGTTATTATATTGGAATATTTAGAATATCTTAATTATCTATCAGGAGTTTTTCTTCTTTGATTTTTTTCCTTATTCAATTAGGATCTTTATAGTTATAGGGATATCTTACTAGAATCAAATTTAGTAGAATATGATTTAAAGGTATATCATATCATGTATATAGGATTAAAATCTCCTCTAATTATTAGTAATTATTGTAATCAGTTTATATAAAATGGACAATTCTGTGTGTTACACAAGTTTAGCATCTCTGGCATCTACTTTTCTCTCTTTCATCATGGTATCAAGTGCTACCATCCTCCGTGACTCATTTGTCACTAGTCACCTCTTCTGCTTTTGTCTCTTATTTCCACCATGATTGTCATTTTTCCACAATGTCTTAATTTGGTATAAAACTTGGATTCGTAGTTGCCATTCACATCGCTCACTGGATGCATTAGTCCTGACTACATCCAAGATGCACTAGCCTAATTTATGTCCTACATCTACTAATCTAACCTACTCTTCGCCCTCTATGTACTGACCTTATCTGTATCCCAAAAGTCATCCCCAAACTTAGTTTCAAGTTTAAAAATTTTTTAGTCTTCAATAATATTAGTTTAAAGTTCCCAAATGTGGCTTTGAGAGGGACGAGCCTGCTCTGCTTGTCATGAATTTTCGCTCGAGCTTATATGATCATTTCAGTTATCTGGCTAAGCTATTATTCTCTTCAGCATCCCTGAGTTTCTTGTACCTCAATTTTTATGTTCTTTTTTATTTGCAAGGAAGTGAATTATTTTCTTGTAACAAGCCAAATCTTAGTAGGCTTCAACATGAGGGGGGTGTTACAAATGAGTAATATGCATAGATACTAAATTGGGATATTGTATAGTAATAGACGATCTCATAAAATTCATTCTTCTTTTTATATTTTAATTTGTTCACTTATTTAATTAGGATCTTTTTGATTATAAGTCAAATTGGGTTCAGATAATCCTTTCATAAGAATGTCACTTGCCCCAAAGTTCGAATAAATGACATACAAATGAGACCCACATCTACATTCACTTTTATAAAATGTCTAGTAGTTTCTACATGAATAATCTAGTCATGTAAAATTGGATTCTGGAAAATAATAGCTGTGTTTGTGTTGTTACAGTACAACTTCATGAAGGGAGCCAGAGGAAGTTGTATGTAACTCTTCTAGAATTCTTTTAAATCATAGAATTTCACAAACTCCTTGTGTCATTGCCCTATATCAACATTACACACTACTAGACAAAAAATTTTGTTTTTTACTTCCCCAAGTACAACATCTAGATGTTAACTTTTTGTCAATAACAGATCCAACCCAATCAGTATTTGTGAAAACTTCCATGCCTTGCAGCTTAGCTTTCTTAAGAAATAGTCTTCTGCCATAAGCACTTTTGAAATAACTCACAATCCTGAAAATTGCCTCAACTTGTTCTTCAAGGGCCATTAATTGGCATATTAAATTTTCTGCCTAGTCAGGTTTGAGATAAATAAATCAAGTATCCCACTACTCTCTAGTACCATGTTGTGTCTTTGGGTGTCCTATGCCTTCACCTCCAAGTTTTCTATAAGGATCTCTATGAATATAGTTGGTTTGCATACCATCATCTAATCTTTTTGAAAATATTGAATGTAAAAAAAGGGGACAACCCTCACCTCAAAAGCTAGTTTTAAGGGGGTTGGATTAGGTCCAAGTGCACCTTCTTAAAGTCTTCTATCGCCATTCTAGTACAAGATATGACCACTTTGTTGTTTGTGTTAGGATAGGCTTTATTAAAAAGTTGTTTTATTTATACCTATATGAACCTAGGGTCCTAGGGATAGGTCCAAATGTACCATCTTAAATATGTCCACCTGGTCGTTTATGTTAGAATAATCTTTATTAAAAAGTTGTTTTATGTTGTACCTATTTTAACCTAGGGCCCTGCCTCGCTCTCTCTCCCCACATATATATATATATATATATATATATATATATATATATATATATATATATATATATATATATATATATATATATATATATATATATATAATTGTGTGTGTGAACCTACATAGAGACCAATTCAAGCTTTCTAAAGTATACTTTCTCTCACCGTTTTTCTCAAATTGGTATCAATGCAGGTCAATCCAGCTCTACATATCTTTGTCCGACAAAGAAAACGTTGTTCGGCCACCGTCTACCACCATAGTCTACTCTACCTAAATAGGCTTTATTAAAAAGTTATTTTTATGATGTATCTATCTAAACCTAGGATCCTAGGGGTGTACTTTATTTGTTTCTTTTCTCTTTGCTTGTATCTCTGATTGAGGCTATTTTTTCTATATATATGTGAACCTAAAGCTCTCTAAAGTATATTTTCTTTCATATTGTTTTCCTTAAATCTAAGATAACTCAAAAGGCTCAAAGACAAGGTTTGATACATTTATGAAGATGTTGTGATGATGGACAAGATCTCATATGGACGGATGTTTTACTGAAGGATATTGTGTTTTCAATAAAAGATATATTATTTCTTGGAAAAGCAAGAAACAAAATACAATTGTCCAATCAAGTTCAGAAGTTGAATAAAGGACAATGACATATTTTACTTGTGAACTTGTGTATATAAAATAGTCCATCCAATAACTAAAGTTTTGTGAGATCCAACAAATGAAAATGTATTATGATAATCAAGCATCTCTCACATTGTCTTCAACCCTATCTTCCATGAGAGGACCAAACACAAAGAAATTGACTATCATTTTATTCAAGAAAAGTTGTTATAAAAGAATATTTGTATTGGGTTTATTGGATCCAATGATCAACTTGCAAATGTGTTAACAAAATCCTTGCAAGGGCCTTAGATTCAATTTACATGTTCCAAACATGGTACATACAATTTGCAGGCTCCAACTTAAAAAGGAATGTTAGAATAGACTTAATTAAAAAGTTGTTTTGTGTTGTACCCATCAAAACATAAGGTCCTATGATTGTACTTTACTTGTTTTTGATTGAGACTACTCTAAAGTATATTTTCTCTCATAATAATTTCTCAAGTGTTATATTGAAAACTATGTTATTAGAAGTAGTTATCAACATGGCATCGCCCAATTATAGCAACACCAAAATTTTCAAACAAAAGATCTCGATAAACTTCATTATTTCTTGGGAATAAAGCTAGCACAAGCCATAAGTGGTATTATCATTTCCCAAACAAAGTATGCAATGGATATTTTCAACAAAACAAACCTAGTCAATTCTAAGGTTGTTAACACACCTATGAATCTCAATTCCAAACTTCTACTAGATTAGGGGCCACTTTTAGGTCCAAAAGGGTACAACCAATTGGTTGGCAAGTTAAACTGTCTCATTGTCACCAAACTAGATATTTCCTTTGAAAACAGGATAGTGATTCAATTTCTTAACTCTCATCATGAAGGACCCCGAGATGTTGTCATTCATATTCAAAAATAAATCAAATGAGCTCCAAGGAAAAGGTCTTTTGCATGGGAACAAAGATCATACGCAAGTTGTGGATATTTGAATGTAAACTGGACAAGTTCACCCACTAACAGGAGATCCACCTCCAGATATGGCATCTTATTAGTGGTAACTTAATTTCAAAGAAAATTGAAAAGTAGGTCCAATGCATAAGCAGAATATTGAACCATGGCTTCAAGCACTTGTAAACTCGAAGAGTTGCTCAATGATCTGAAGTTTGAAGTTGTTGCTTAGATGACAGTCATTGGTGATTATCAAGTTGCCTTGCACATTCCTCAAATAAGGTATTCCAAGAGAAAACTATTAACATTAAGGTAGATTACCACTTCATCGAGAAGAATATCCTGCCAGGTGACATCATCGCCAATTTTGTTAATTCTAACATTCAATTTGCAAATGTATTTACTAAGTCTTTAAGAATCCTCGAATTGATTATATTTGGAAGAAACTTAGTGAACATGATTTTTATGCTCCAACATGAGGGGAAGTGTTTGATATTGTAGATGTCCTTAATTGTGGTAATTAGAAATTCTATGATTCACCTAATTATGGTAATTAGGAAATTATTTTCTCCAAGATTATTACCCACACTATACAATAACACATTAGTTGTGTACACTAACACGGATTTAGTTATGTCAATTTTTTTTTTCTCCTCTTAACAGAAAAAAACACTTATGAACATTAAACAGAACCCAATCACTTAATCTTATCATAAATCAACTTCCAAGCAAAATGGAACTATAGCCTCCAACCAAATGCACTACCAATAGTAGAATTAGTTTTACTTTGTCATAAAATTTTCTATGCTTAGAGCCTCAAACCAATGCAAATAAAGATTTAACCTCCATATACCAAACCACTAAAGATAGTCAATAGATATTATTACGGGGACATGTGCCACAATAAGCACTGACAAAACAGGTATATTCAATAAACAATCAAAAGGATGTATGAACAGATTCTGAACATGCACCATATATAACATAACATAACATGCATATTAGACAAGTAAATACAGACCTGGAACATGTCAGTAGCTCAATTTCAACAAAAGTTATCAATTAGAAAAGGAATTAGCATAAAAACACTTCAAAGGAGTCAAGGGATCAAATCTTTAATCGAAAACTGAAGACAAATTAATATAATCAACAAGATTCAACTGCTACTCCCACTCAAGAATTTCCTATCATTTTTTAAATATTTGATAATTCCAAGAAAATGCAACATATTAAAATTGTAGATAGCATAGTATGTAAGGAACTAGGAACCTCTATGATTTAACTTTACACATGAGCAAATCACCTTAAGCAGTGACATGAGCACTATAGAGCACAGAATCTGGATCCAGTACAAAAGGCAAGCATGGTATGACATCGTTAAATTTATTACATGAGTGATAATCTTAACCCCCATCTTCCTTTTTCATGTTTTCATCTGTTGCTGTGGTGAATAGTGGTGAATACTAAGAGGATGCGAATCAACGCTAACAAAACAAGAGTATATCTACGGAATGCACAAAGTACACCATACCCAGAAATCTTACTCATACCCACAAGGTGCACTACCCACTACTGGAAAATATGTCAATCAAGGTTTTGTTTCACTTGACTATTTTCAAAGTCTCCGCCTAAATCCCAACACCCCATACTATTTTTCAGTCAAAGGCATACTTCCTCAGTCAAAAACTCTCACTGCACAATTCTGATCAGAAAAATACAAAAACAAGCTCAATCCCACACTTGTTCTCACACAAAACACCAAAACCACAAAAAATAAACACACAAGAAACTCACGGGTTTCCTCACAACCACGCGTAATGGTTGCGGCTTCTCAGCAGCAGCAGAAGCTTCTTCTTCAGCCTTAGGCACACAAGGAGTGAACGCAGAGCCCCGGGGACGCCACTCCGAGGCCAAGTCCGTGGACGGAGCCTTGTCCGCACGTGTGACCCCATCCATGACCCACACAGAAAGTTAAGAGAAAAAGAGAAATAGAGGACCCAAATTCAAGTCAGAGAAAGATTCACTTTCCCCAATTTCACTTTCATTATTGCCCTTCCCTTCTTCTCATCACCGTCTCTCCACTGCTCAAGTGCTTGCTACCTCCAATCCAACGGATTTCAATCCCATCACGAGCCCAACCTCCAGAACCGTCCTACAATCACATCGAACCCAAGATCCATCGATTCTGGGTTCTCCCTTCTGTTTGAAATTGAATCCGATGGAAGCAAAGGGAAAATTCAAAAGGGGAAAATTACTCAGAAAAGGGAGAAAATTGATCGATCGGAAGTAAGGGGTTTTTGTTTCCTTAAGAGGGGATTGGATTATAATTTAGTTTCGTTGTTAGAAAATAAGAGAGAGAGAGAGAGAGAGAGAGAGAGAGAGAGAGAGAGAGGGATGCAATGGAATGAGCGTTTTGTTGGTTTCGGAGAGAGGCAGGGCGGGCAGGGCAGACACGCCGTCTTGTTTCGGTCGAAGCAGTGATGAGGAATTATTTGGTGTTGCTTCTCTCTTTCTTTCCTTTTTTTTTTATTTTTTTTTTATTTTTTATTTCATTTTTTATATTTTTTTTGTCGGAACAAAAATCCTCTCTTTAATGTTTGTTTGTTCACTGCAACACAATCATTCCATCTCTGCCTTCATTTGCCTTTTTATCTTTACTTGAACTCTCTCCACTATAAACAATTTATGTTCTCTATAATATTTTTCACATTTTCTAAAAACTATTACTTAAATGTTTATATTTTTTAGACAATAATCAAATTGAAAATTAAATTAATTTAAAATCTACGGTCAGAACAATAATATCGCTGAATTAAAAGTTATAACACACGGACCTTTATACTGAATATATTAAGCGGATTAATTTAAATATTAAAAACTCTTGCAAAAATATTTTTATATTAGAAGAAAATTCTCCACTAAACAATTTTTGAAAAAACTACTCCTAAAACCAAATTAATGGACAAAATAACAAGAGAACCTAATCACTTTTCTTTATACACTACTAAAAATTCTTATTTTTCATGGGAATATTTTTGCAAAATTTTTATAAAAATTACAAGAAATAAGTTTTTTGTAAATTTAAACAATTTTTCACAAGAAAATTGACAGAAAAAAAGTAGTGATATTAGAAGAACATGATGCGTATTCATAATTATTTGTTTTCGTATTCTTTGTGTATTATTTTTTAAATATTATTTAAATTTTACTCTGTTTTACTTTAATTTTTAACATTATCATATTTCCCTTTGATTTTTTTATATATTTTATATGTTTTTTTTATATGTATTATATGTTTTTTCTTTATTTTTATTTGTATAATTTTATTTTATTTTTTATATATGTTTTTTTTAAAATACATAATGTAACACGTCATAATAATTATATTGAAATATAAAATCCTATTATACATACACATAAATATTTTAAATATTACATGAAGAAATAATTCAAAAACATAACATTTGATTACAAGTGTTTATATATATTTCAAATAAAATATATAAAATATAAATATTTTTTACCTTTTATTAGCAACTCTTATGTTTTCCATTAATAATTCATACTTGAACTAATCAGTTTAAACATAATGCAAATTAAACCTATCATACAATCGAGTCATAAAAGTCTCTATTTATATATCACCTTTTATTTATATTCTCTTTCATACACAATTATATCATATAAAACAAATAATAATAAGTGTGAAAATCTCAACGTATTGATTATATCTCATGTTATTATATATCTTGGTTGATTCGATGAATCAAACTTTTCCATAAAAATTGAAAAAATATATGTATTTGAAGAATATGTAGTACGTTGACTTAAGATTAAACGTAAGTTTTTATTAAGTAGTTTGATATTAAATTAATGTTAAAAAGTCTTTTGTTGTTTTTTTTTAAGTTTGTTTGATAATTAAAATGTTTTAATATGTTAAAATATATTTATTAAAATTATAAAATAATTGTTTTAATCAATTAAAATGTCTTAAAAGCCATCAACTTTTATGGAAAATTTGTTTTAATTTATTAAATGTGTACGTGGTTTTTTATTCATTTTGAATCATTCTATTGAGATATATTAAAAGGGTTTTAATAGATTAAATAATTTTTTTAAAATAATTTTAAACGGTTAGAAGTGATTTCAAAATCTTATTATTTTAATCCATTACATGATTTTTAATTAATTAAAACATAAAATTCATTAAAACTTTTTTTATGTTTTAAAAGTTATTATGCATTAATTCAATAATTAAGAGAAATCTACATATTAAAATATAATTTTAAACTATTGTTTTCGGTTAAAAACTATATAACTCTCTTCTTTATAAACCTTTCAACACATCATAATACAATTTTTATACGTCTTTTTAATTATTGGACAAGAAAAAACTTATTTTATTAAAAATGATATAGTTTTGTTTCAAGAGTATTAAGTTATGTTTAGATTAAAAAAAAAACAAGAGTGAGAAAGAAGATTACAGTTTTATAATAATAAAATTTAAATCATTGTAATTTTTTATATTTTAAATTAAATTACTAAAATTTCAAATTTTATCCTTACTAAAATTAGTTATATTCTTTAACTCACTTAAATCACTACAAATTTTACACCACAATATTATTTTTTTCATAATTATATTTTATTTCATAAAATATAGTATTATTTTATAAGCAATAATACCAACAGATTACAAAAATTAATCCTCGTTCATATGATGGCATAGGTAACATAATTTCATTATCGGGATGTCAGAAAAAATGCGCATTCTCCTTGAGTTTTTTGTTTTGTTTTTTTATTAGAAAAAAAGGACATATTTACAACAACAAAAAACTTACAAAATATATATAAAAGTAAATTAATTTTATTATGAAAATGTATTATTATAATTTAAAAATTAATGAATTAACATAATGATTATCATTAGTTTAGATAATTTTCAAAAACTATTATTATTAAATTTATTATTCAAGTAAATTTATGCCAATAAAAATAAATAAAAGTAAAACATAAATATGAAATTTTAACTTAATAAGTTAAATTATTAGTAAAAAAAGTAATGGTGTATTATAATTATTAAAATACTAAATTTATTATTATTAATGGAAAAAGTTGTAATATATTTTTGAAAATTATTTATTATAAAATATATTCAATTAAAAATTACATTATAAAGGTATTGATAAATATATTTAAAAACTATAATTTATTATTAAAAATAATTTAATTTATTGTTATTAATAAATATAAATTTTTTATAAATTAATCCATGATTATTGATTCAATATTTTTTTATTAATATAAATTAATTGTACTTTTTAAAGAAAATGTTCTTTAAACTTATTATTTAACTAAATACATTGTTTTATTATAATAATTAAATGTATGATCTTGATTTATTTTTTTATTCAATTAATTAATTTTATTTTTATAAAATATTTTGTAAAGGAATTCATTATGTTAAAATAATTGGTTAAAAGTTTCATTGAACATATTTTGTGGTAGCGAAAGTTTGTTTCTTTTTTAAATTATTTATGGGTTATTACTTTTATTTTTTTACATTACTTATAGGTTTATAATAGTTTTTTCTCCTGTAAAAAAAAAACAACAATATCTCTCTTTATTTTATGAAACTAATAATTTGGAATATTCTATATTGATAAATATGAAAAAATTTAGATTAATACATTTAAAAATATATAATTTTAAAATTTAGAATATAAACTTCACTGATTCGAAATATTGGATCCAAAAATGAATTTCACACCTATATGATATAATTTATGGATCATGAAATCCAAAATTAACTTTTCAATTATATGATATAAGTGTTGGATTATCAAATCCAAAACATAATTTCACTGGGTCAATCTAACAAATTTTCAGGTGAATCCAAAAACTTTTGAGATAAATCAATGTATACTTTTTTTTTGCATATATATATATATATATATATATATATATATATATATATATATATATATATATATATATATTACATACAATTTTAAACATTAAATTTTCTTGTATTCAGATTTTAAACATTAAAGTTTGATATGGTAATAAAAAATATTATGATCTTTTTGACATGGTAATAAAACTTGATAGTATTGAATTTTAATTTTAAAAGACTACAAAGAATCATATAATATTTAAAATTATACAAATTTTAATAAACTATTTTATTGATTTGATTTTAATTCATTTGGTACTAACAAATTTTTATTTTTATTTGCTTACTTTTAACCAGGGTATTTAACTGGATTTATCAAAAATTTCGTGTACAGTTAACAAGGATTTCTTAATCTTAACTAATTATAATTTATTTGTTGGAACCACGAGAAAAGTCAAAATTAATATTTAATTTAGAATAAAATCCAAAGCGTTGTGTTTTAAAATAAATTAAATTAATAGTTTTCATTTTTTTATTTTATGTTTATTTTTTAAATTGTTAAAATCAGAATAAAAATAACATGTCTTGATTTTTAGATAAACAACAAAAATTGTTCACAAGTCTAAATTTGGTTGAATTAATTAATAATATCATAAATTTATTTTATTCTAAAAATAAAACTATTAAATTGTTTAAGTAATGATTTTATTAGTTGTCCCTTGAGAAATATTTGTTTCTCCACTAAGTATAACTTATATAGTTACAATTAATTAATATTTTGGTAATATACTTTACAATAAATTTGAAATATAAAAAATTAATCATGAATATAGCAAAAATATGTTTTTGTTTCGTATACGAATAATTTTGTTGATTTATGTCCATAAACCTCGGTTTCTATGTTGTTGTTTAACAAAACAATTATCAATTTAATTTTTGAAAACTAAAAAGAATGAATTTGTTTAAAAAATAATAAGCAAACAAAACACAATAATTTGTCATTATTTTGATCAAACAATGAAAAGATAAATTTTTGATTTAAACTCATTTTCAAACTCTAAATTCTAAATTTTAAATCATACTTACCAGATGGATTCCTATCAGTTGAACCTCACTAGTTTAGTTGTTTTTTTTTTTTTTTGTTTAAATGATTTTAATTTCAATCAAATTAACTTCATAGAGAATTGAAGTATTTTTATAATTTTTAAAATTCATATTTTGAATCGTAGTTTCCATTTTAAAAAACAAGTTTGTCTTAGTTTTAATATTTATGAATAAACATAAGTTGATTTTATTTTTAGAGAAATAACATATCAAAATTTGTAATTTATTTTTTTAAATAGTTTAATTACATATCAAAAATTGTAATTTAATTTTTTTAATATTTTAATTTTAATTAAGTTAATTTGATAAAAACTTGTTTAATTTGAGTCATCAATTTGAAAAATGCAGATTTCATGTTAATAAGCTAATAATTATCATTTATTATAGTTTGCCAACAATAAGAAAGTAAAAAAATTATATTCATTTTGTATTTTAAAAATTATTAAATCGGAAATTGATATTTAACTTCTGTCCTACATTTATTTCACAAACAAGAATAAGATAAAGATAAAGTATTTTTTTAAATAATTGTATTATAAAGTTGAAACTAATATTTTATCTCTATACAGTATTTGTTTTATGTATTTTTTTTATTTTAAATTAAAATGACTTTATGTACTAATTGGATTTTAGTTTTAATATCTCTTTTAAAATTTGTGAAACCTATTGGGTAGAAAAAAATATTAATCGTTTTTTTAATTTTCAAATCCAGCCAATTTTTTTATTTTTTTTTTAAAACTAGTGCAGGCCCATATTTTTTTATAATTAATTTCTATTTTAAAATATTATTTTAAAATATAATTCATTTTATCTTTTTACTATTTAAATATAGTCACTTTTTATTTTTTTCTATTTTTTACATATAAAAATCATAATAATACTTTTTTTCTTTAAATTATAATATTTTTATTATTCTAAAAAAATTAACTAGTAAAAACGTACGTGTGTCGATATTTTTTTATAATTATTTTCTGTTAAGTATTTTTTTTATCATTTAAATATATTTTTATTATTTTTCAATATAAATTATAATAATTAAATTTCTTTAAATGATAACCATTTTTCTTTGATGATATGAATAAAATAATTATAAAATAAATATTTTTATATATAATTATAGATAAATAATAAATAAAAAAATTAGTTAGTATTTAAAACAACGTTAATAGAATTTTTCTGTTTTTTTAATTCACCAAATTGTTTTTATCCAACTTTAACAAGTATTTTATATGATTACAGTATTGAAAATCGGATCAAATTGATGGATTTCGATTCTTAATTTTTAAATAGTGGAATTTTAATTAAATTAGTATAAAATAAAAAAATTAACCGATTTTTTGGTCCCATATCAAATTAAAAAGAAATTAATATCAAAATTTTAAAAATATTATCTTTTATAAAAACTAAAATATTTTTTTATTTTTTTCTTTTATTATTTTATACCACTTTTAAAAAATAATTATTATAATATTTTTATTATATTTTAATAATTATCTATCTTATATTATCTAATATATTTTATATTGGTAAATTTAATTTGAAGTGACAAGATAATAATTTTTATTATTATTTAAAAAAAATATTATTATTAATAAATTTATTATGTTTTCACCGATTTAATAATAGTGTGTAACTTTATAAATATTGAGTATTATTGACCGACATTTTGATTTTAAATTATTATAGTAAATTTTTATAATTTTATTATTTATTTAATTATTTGACTTTAAAAAAATTGTTTCAGAATTTATTCAATTTCATTCTTTTAAAAAAACAACAAGAAAATATGAGAATTCGGAATAAGTTCAACCATTACAATTATGATTTCCTTTTGTTTATTCAAATAAACAAAAAGAAAAAAAATGTTACTTTACGATTTATTTACGTTTTGGTTTATTGATTTGAATATATTAATAACGTATAAAAAGCAAACAAACAAACTTTATTTATATTTGTTATTTTAAATTTAAAATAGTTAGAATATATTTATTATGTATATTTAACTTAGTATTATATATATTTTTGTTAAAATTTATTATGCTCCGAATTTATATTTATTTTATTTTGATCATGTGCATCATTTCAGGTGGAAGTAAGATCCTAAGTTAATAGTAAAGTCAATTTTTTTTTTTAAATCAAGCGGTGTAATTGTATCTTTTAATTACACACATCTATTATAGAATAACGATTTTAAATATATAAAATACAATTTTTTGGATATTTAATAATAATTTAGCAAGACACTTGTCTATCTATATATATCTATATATATATATATATATATATATATATATATATATATATATCCGTTACTTATTTTATTGCATTATTTATAATTACAAAAATAATAATAATTTATAATTTTTTTATGAGAATTACTTGAACTTATATCCGTTACTTATTTTATTGCATTATTTATAATTACGAAAATAATAATAATTTATAATTTTTTATGAGAATTACTTGATCTTTGAATAGAAATTGGGAAAATGAGGTAAAAAAAATATAATATCAGTAAAGTAAATATATATATTTTTATTCAATATTCACAGGACAATGCCCCCAAAAAAAAAAATTAACATGGAAAATGGCATATGCAATCTTCTACGACGTTGCACATTCCACTTGCTGCGTTTCCATGTTTCTTGCGACAAACAGAGTTACATTTGAAATCGTTACAACTCAATTGGTACAGCGGTTCTTCACACATTCTTCCTTCTACGACTTTCAATGCTCCTTCATTCTCTGTCACAGACACAGTTTCAATGTTAAACACATGGATCTCAAGTTCATAAAACTTATTTGAATCAAAAGTGAATTTTTAAAAACAGAGAATTAGAGATCAGCAAAAACATACCAACCCCATTGGAAAGAACAAGCAGGAGCACCATTAGAAGTGAAGTGATGACCTTCATCTTCATTTTATCAGAGCAACAATTGCTTATTGGTTGATATCAGTTGTATCCAAACACACCATATTTATAATATTATGATTGATGAGCATTTATTGTTTATTAAATGCTTAATTTATAGTATATTAATTTTTTATCTTATTATTTTATTAGTGTATGTGTTCTTATTTTTTTATATATTATCTATTTTAAATTTTATTATTAAAATTTTAAATATATATAAATCACAATAATTATTTATCTCTCTTATAACATAAAAAATAGTAAAAAATAATATTTCGATATATTGCTATAAGTATAAATGAAACACTAATTTAAAATTTTTTTAATAAAAGATTTGAATATTCTTTTACGTATTAATAAAAGTTGATAAATTTTATTATAATTAAGAGATTTTTAAATAAGTTTTTAACATTTAGAAATAAAATTAAATATTTTATAGTTAAGTTTTTTAAAATTTAGTTAGAATTATTTATATAAATATTTTTTTTATTTTTAAATAACTTAAATATAATATTTATAATAAAATATTTATTTTTTTTAAACAATTCTCACTATGCTCTAATATATATAAAAATTAAGTGTTTATAAAATAAAGAATATCACTCTTTCTCATTTAAAATAGCCGTTAAAGCTTCTCTAAAAGCGTTATTTTTATTTAATTTCTTTTGACTAGAAAAGAAGCAAAACAACCGTTACCAAAATAATAAGCCGTGGATTTCAGTAACTCAAGTATATCTTTATGGGCTGAGTTAGATGGAGATTTGTGTAATGGATGCAATTACAATTGGACCAATGGCCCAATTAAACTTTTATTCCAGACATCATTGTATGTTTGCATTTGTCATATGCAATGCTTTTAATTATGATTACATTAATTTTGTCACCTAAGATGACATAGACTTAGACCAATATCCTATAAAAAACATATTGACATTGTTAAGGGACATTTGGACCAAGCTGAGACATTGAAGTGGGTTTGGTCACAGATTGTGAGACATGGCATGAATCAGCAAATACAATATACATTCTCATTGTTTCAACCATTGAAGCCTCAAGGCCTGCATCTGCATTCTCCACTTGTCTCACAAACTATTTTAAATTAATTTAATGCATTTTATAAACTACTTCATTTTACATTTTTTTAATTTTAATATATATAATATTTAGGTGTTTTATAATGTTGAAATTAATATATAAATATGTTTAGAAATTTGATTAATTAATCTTCAAACTAAAACAAATATAAAATCAAATCTGTGAAAAATAAAAGTTTGTTGTTAAATAATTTTGTAACAAAAACATGTGAATTTAATCTTTATATTAATTTTGTAACAATAAAAAATTATCATTAAATAGAAAATCATATATTTTTACAAATTTAAAAATGAATTCATCAATTTAAAAATACGTATAAATAAATTATCTATCGTTGAAAAGGTGTATGAAATGGATCTTCAAAGTCTATTGAGTGGTTGATATTAATTAGCAATAAATCCGAAATTAATAAGGTAAAAAGAAAAAACATTTACCAGCAATGACTTGTGAACTACCAAAGTTTAATAATATGAAAGTGATATATTAAAAATGAAATAATATAGGTGTATCATAAAAATAGAATATATTATTTATTAATATAAACCTTTTATCAATATTTTATAAATGAGAATATTTGAATGGGTGAGATATTATCTAATGATCTATTAAAAATTATAAATTACGTAATAAATTATTATATTTATTATCAAATAATGAAAAAAATAAAATATTTGATTATTGATGATATAAATTTTTTAAAGATATTTATTCTTAAAACCTAATTATATATATATAAATAAATAAAAATTGTACCATGGGACGTAAAACAAATCAAACACTAGGGTCCATCAATAATTTGTGAAAAAGAATCAAATTTGAAATGCAGAGTAGAAACCTGTGCAAAATGAAATGAAAAAGGAAACATATGCCACTCAAATTCAATTAACAAAATTTATGGATTGATTATTATTCTTTTTTAAGATAGTGTTGCACACGACACAATCTTTTCCTTTCCCCACAGTTCTCTTTCTTAGCAAAAAAGGAAAAAACTTTTCTTTTCTTAGACAGAAGGTTATGATGCTATTCAAGATAAGAAAAAAAAATTGTATTATTATATGAAAGCATCATTATCTAGTATTTTAATCCACTCTCAATATCATAATATTATATGAAAAAAAAAAGTGTTCAATGTATGAGTTTCTAGAAAAACTTACAATTTTATTTTTTATATTTTTTAAATGGATAAATTTAATTTTCTAAAATTAAAAAAAGTGAATTTAGGATTGTCACACTCCAAATGGAAAGAGTAAAAAATTGTAATTAAACCCTGAAACTTAAAACCGTTTATTTACTAAAACGCTTTTGTTAAAACCATTTGCTTTGACCAGACTAGTCATAATTCAACGTAATTTCTGTGAAAACAATTTTTGTTTTCTGTTTTAAAAATCAAGTTATATAGTTAGTGCATATTAAATGCAACATTTTCACAAGAATAGAATAAATTGGTAAATGTAGTATTTTTTTTCTTGAATTGCATCCACGTTATTAAGATCCTACACCACTTGACTAAAGAACACAATTTGATATCTGCAGATTAGAATGAAGATGAATAATATAATTAAAAATATATCGTATATGTTTATGGTCTTTAAAAAATGATCACGATATTGCACATTTGTGACATAAAATAAAATAAATAAAATAAATGAATAGTAGAGGCATAAAAATAAAAAAATTCCTAATATACCATTAGACATTTAATTAATTTTGGCACCTGTTTGGCCTACCATGGCTGACTTGTTGGTTCTTTCTTCCTTGCAATTGCCGTCCTTTCTCTCTCTACAATGCCTTTGACCTTTTGCCATATCGCAGTCTCTCGCCAACACGATTCTTCATCTTCACCCGTAACCACCGTCACAATTGCACCTTCGCCACGTTACCCTTCTCTCCTGACACGCTCTTCCACCCAACTCAAAACGCCGCCACTCTCCTCTCTATTTCCACCACCTTCACTTCTATCTTCACATTTCCCACCCTCTCAACACACTTCTCGTGATTCTCGCTTCTGGGCTCCTTGTTTTTGTTTTTTATTTTCAACGCTTTCTATTCTGGTCCGAACTCGTGTGGTCTTTTCGTTCTGGTTCTCGTTCGCTGACAATTCTGTTCTGGAAAATGTCAGACATACGTAAAATGTGATCAAGAGGATTGAACCGTGTTTCGTCACGTTGTAAGGGCTAACCTCTTATGCGTGAGTAAACCATACAACGTTTGCGAATTGTGTTGTGCAGTCTCTTGCTTTTTTTTTTTTTTTTTCTCGGTGGTTTTTGGATCATGGGTTTTGAGGCTTGTCACCTTCTGATCCCTTCTTCAAGACTGACCCTTTACGCCAGAGGTTCTGCAAGTTTGGAGTTTTCCAAGATCTAGATGAGTTAAAAGTCTAATCTTTCAGGGACCACTGTGATGGAACCGAGTACCCCATTAGATAGTTCTTCCAATATGGACTCTTTCATGTTCGATTCATCATCACGTAGAAGTACCGTGTCCATTCACTCTAGGAGTTCTGGTGTTATCAACTCCACCAGGGAAGTGAGTTTTGGCCACTCAGGATCCAAGCCTGTGAGATATGGGTCAAAGGGTGCTGAGTCCGAGGCTCTCAGTATGTCTCAGAAAGAAATCAGTGATGAGGATGCAAGGTTAGTTTATGTTGATGATCCCGATAAGACAAATGATATGCTTGAATTTGCCGGGAATTCGATTCTTACTGGAAAGTACTCCATCTTCACCTTTCTTCCAAGGAATTTGTTTGAACAGTTTCATAGAGTTGCTTATATTTACTTCCTTGTAATTGCCATTCTTAATCAGCTCCCTCAGTTAGCTGTATTTGGGAGGGGTGTTTCCATTTTGCCGTTGGCTTTTGTGCTTCTGGTTACTGGCGTGAAGGATGCATTCGAGGACTGGAGGAGGCACAGGTCAGATAAAATTGAGAACAACAGGTTAGGATTGATTTTGGTTAATGGTCAGTTTCTCGAGAAGAAGTGGAAGCATATTAGAGTTGGGGAAGTTATTAAAATCAGAGCAAATGAAACCATTCCCTGTGATATTGTGTTGCTCTCAACCAGTGACCCCACTGGGGTTGCTTATGTGCAGACTCTTAATCTGGATGGAGAGTCTAATTTGAAGACTAGGTATGCAAAGCAAGAGACTCAATCTAAGTTGCCAGAAAAGGAGAAGTTAGATGTGTTGATTAAGTGTGAGAAACCCAATAGGAATATATACGGGTTTCAGGGTAATATAGAAGTTGATGGAAAGAGGTTGTCTCTTGGATCCTCTAACATTGTCCTCAGAGGCTGTGAGCTCAAGAATACTAATTGGGCACTTGGTGTTGCCGTGTATTGTGGCCGTGATACCAAAGCTATGCTCAACAGCTCTGGAGCTCCATCCAAAAGGAGCCTTCTTGAGACTCGCATGAACTCTGAGATCATTATGCTTTCTTTCTTTCTCGTAGCTTTGTGTATAGTGACCTCAGTTTGTGCTGCTGTTTGGTTAAAGCGCCACAAGGATGAGTTGAATCTCATGCCTTATTATAGGAAACTGGATGTTTCGGAGGGGAAAGAGGAAAGCTATAAATATTATGGATGGGTACTGGAAATTGTTTTCACTTTCCTCATGTCAGTTATAGTTTACCAGGTTATGATCCCTATATCCTTGTACATTTCGATGGAGCTTGTACGTGTTGGTCAGGCATACTTCATGATCGGAGACTCCAGAATGTATGATAAGGCAACAGAGTCAAAATTTCAGTGCAGAGCTTTGAATATTAACGAAGATTTAGGCCAAATTAAATATGTCTTTTCTGACAAAACTGGCACACTGACTGAGAACAAGATGGAGTTTCAATGTGCAAGCATCTTGGGGTTTGATTACAGTTCTGCAACAGCCAGTCTTGAGAATGAGCAAGTTGAATACACAGTTCAAGGTGTATTTCCATCTTCAAATATGTTTCTGTTCAAATACAATTACATTACTGTATTTGATTTTCTTAAAATAATTAATAGGACATGTTTAAACTCTGTTATTTTTTACTCTCAGCGGATGGGACGATCTTTAAGCCAAAGATGATGGTGAAAGTTAATCAAGAGCTTTTGCAATTATCAAAAAGTGGATTTACAAATGACGAGGGGAAACAGATTTATGATTTCTTTCTAGCATTGGCAGCCTGCAATACCATTGTACCTCTTGTTGCTGACACATCTGACCCTATGGTCAAGCTGATAGATTATCAAGGGGAATCACCAGATGAGCAAGCATTGACTTTTGCTGCCGCTGCGTATGGGTTTATGCTTATTGAACGAACCTCAGGTCACATAGTCATTGATATTCATGGAGAGAGACAAAGGTAAATTTAGTTGCTTTTCTTTATAATAATTACTATCTGCTTTTTCTTCTGCAGACAAACATATTTTACATCGACAGTTCGAAATAGTTTGGTGTTAATGGTTTAGTGTTAATGTTGTTTCAGCATACAGAAAGGTATTCTGAAACATTTATATTGTTGGAGTCTCTTATGTATGTCATGATATCTATATAGTTGTTGATAATGCTGTTAATTTTTGCTTGTCTTCTTAGTGTTCCTTCCTCCCTGGATATGTAGTGGTTTAGAAGGCCTTCCCGTGTAATGAGATTCCATTGCTATCTACTTTTAATGAATGTTTCTGTTATTGGACATGCAGGTTCAATGTCTTAGGTTTGCATGAATTTGACAGTGATCGAAAAAGGATGTCAGTTATCCTGGGGTACAGTGACAATTCTGTGAAACTTTTTGTTAAAGGGGCAGATACATCCATGCTTAGATTGATTGACAAATCATTGAACACAGACATACTACATGCAACTAAATCCCATCTTCACACTTATTCCTCTGTGGGTTTGAGGACACTTGTTATTGGGACGCGAGACTTAGATGCTTCAGAATTTGAGCAATGGCAATCTTCCTTTGAGGTAGCAAGTACTGCTTTGATGGGTAGGGCTGCTTTGCTTCGCAAGGTCGCTATCAATATTGAGAACAAGCTCTGCATATTGGGTGCAACTGCTATTGAAGATAAACTGCAGCAAGGTGTGCCAGAATCTATTGAGTCTCTAAGAATTGCAGGTATTAAAGTATGGGTCTTGACTGGGGACAAACAGGAAACTGCCATATCAATTGGATACTCCTCTAGGCTCCTAACGAGCAACATGATTCAAATTATAATTAATACCAACAATAGAGAGTCGTGTAGAAGACATTTACAAGATGCCCTTGTCATGTCTAGACAACATATGACTACGCCCGGTGTTACTCACAATTCAGAGGAAGGATCAGATTCTGTTTCAACTTCATTTGCCTTGATTGTTGATGGTACCAGCCTTGTTTATATTCTTGACAGTGAGCTTGAAGAAGAAGTAAGTTCCATTAAATTTTTAGTTGTGTTTAGAGTGTATTCCATACTTATAGCTGCTGACTTAGCTCAATGCCATTGACTCCAGTTCTTTCAACTTGCAAGTAGATGTTCTGTTGTTCTCTGTTGTCGAGTGGCTCCACTACAGAAGGCTGGAATTGTTGCCCTTGTGAAGCATAGGACAGATGACATGACGCTAGCCATTGGAGATGGTATGAAATCTTCTATGTACATGTTTCAGATTGTCATTTTTCCCTTCAAAGAAAGAAAATAATAGGATAATGAAGAAAAAGAAAAGGCACTAATTTAAAAAACAGATTAAATTTGCTTGTTGTGATTTTTGTGTTTATGTAAAATTATCTTTATTATGAATTTGTTGTAGGTGCTAATGACGTATCGATGATCCAAATGGCTGATATCGGAGTTGGAATCAGTGGACAGGAAGGTCGGCAAGCTGTAATGGCTTCAGATTTTGCAATGGGGCAGTTTAGGTTCTTAGTTCCTCTCTTATTAATACATGGGCATTGGAATTACCAGCGACTGGGTTACATGATAACATACAACTTTTACAGAAATGCAATCTTTGTTCTTGTCCTATTTTGGTAAGCTACAATTCAGAAAATGAATATAAGTAGATGCTTTATTCATGTAACTTTAAATTTGTTAGTTCTTGAATTGAACGTGATGTACTTCTGAGCATATACTTCACCGGATGCACTTTGTGAATTGTACAAAAAATGAAAAATTTATATATTCTGGTTTTAATCTATGCAATGTAAGATTTATCCCTCCAAATTTTGACATCTTAATTTGTTGTGTCTTTGTTGTCCAGGTATGTGCTCTTTACTGCCTTCACATTAACAACTGCTATAAATGAATGGAGCAGCATGTTATACTCGATAATCTACACTGCGTTGCCAACTATTGTTGTTGGTATTCTTGACAAGGATCTTAGTAAAAGGACTCTTCTAAAGCATCCTCAGCTTTACGGGGCTGGGCTGAGAAATGAGGCCTACAACAAAAAATTGTTTTGGTTGACAATGGCCGATACTTTGTGGCAAAGCATTGCAGTCTTCTTTGTTCCCCTTATCGCATATTGGGGAACCACAATAGATGTAGCAAGCATAGGTGATCTTTGGACTCTTGCAGTAGTTATTTTGGTTAATTTGCATCTGGCCATGGATGTCATCAGGTGGAATTGGATTACTCATGCAGCCATTTGGGGCTCTATTATTGCAACCTTCATCTGTGTCATAGTTATTGATGCTATACCAGTATTTCCTGGTTACTGGTATGTGCTATCTTTTCCTGATCTATCCCTTTGAATTTTTATACAAATTAATCTGATGCAGTACCATCATATTATCATCACTGCTTTTCTTTGGTGTTTCTGTATTGTGTCCTTTTTTCATGACTTATTTAATCCATCTTAGAACCAAAACATTGTATGACTGCATAGTAGAATAAAAAAATGGGAACGAAAACTGTTAAGGTTAACTATTTTAGGAAATATAATAACTCTATTTTATGCTAGGATCCCTTGATTTATGGGAATGTTCCTAATTATTCAAATCTGTACAGATTACAAGGAAATATACAAATTTCCTTATTTATTCTTTCCTAAAATACTATTTGATTTCTCACACTCCCCCTCAAGCTGGTGAATAGATGTTTTCCATTCCCAGCTTGGATACAATCTTCTCAAAATTATGGCAGCCCAGTCCCTTGGTAAGAATGTCTGCAATTTGGTCTTGAGAGGACACATATGGAGTGCATATCAAGCCACTATCAAGCTTTTCTTTGATGAAGTGTCTGTCTACTTCAATATGCTTTGTTCTATCATGCTGCACTGGGTTGTGGGCTATACTGATTGCTGACTTATTATCACAATAGAGCTTCATAGGTTCTTCCCACTTTATCCTCAAGTCTTCTAAGATGATTTTAAGCCATAGCAACTCACATATACCTTGTGCCATGGCTCGGAATTCCGCTCACAGACTGGACCGAGCCACTACACCCGCTTTTGCTTCTCCAAGTCACAAGATTTCCTCCAAGAAAGGTGCAATATCCTGTAGTTGACCTCCTATCCACAATTGACCCCGCATAATCGGCATCGAGTATAGGCTTCAAGTTTCACATTACCATTCCTTTTGAATAGAATCCCTTTTCCTGGAGTTCCTTTAAGGTACTGTAAAATTCGTAGGCGACTTGTAAATGGGTCTTCTTTGGGCTATGCATAAATTGGCTAATTAAACTCACCTGCATAGGCAATATCCGGCCTGGTATGTGACAAATATATAAGTCTCGCCCACTAATCTTTGGTACATATCTTTTTCAACAGCAACATCTTCTTCGCATTTCCAAGCTTTAGGTTTGGTTCTAATGGGGTACTAGCAGGTTTGCAAGCTGCCTTGCCAGCTTCCTTGAGCAAATCGATGATGTATTTTCACTGAGATATAAATATCCCTTTCTCGGAGTGGGCAACTTCAATTCCCAAAAAATATTTTAGTTTTCCCAAAGTCTTGATCTCAAATTCCTTGCCTAAGCATTGACTCAATAATTGTTGCTCTTCTTTATTATCTCCAGTTAATATTATGTCATCCACATACACCAATAATATTGTTACTCCCCCGACTTTGAATGTTTAAAAAACAAAGTATGGTCCCCTTGGCTTTGTTTGTAACCCGCACTTGTCATAACTTTAGTAAACCCGCCAAACCATGCACGGGGATCTGTTTTAACCCATATAATGCCTTTTTCAACTTGCAAACAGTGTTGGTAGCAACATCTTTACCATATCCCGGAGGTATCTCCATATAGATTTCTTCTTCAAGGTCTCCATGTAGGAAAGCATTCTTAACATCAAATTGTTCCAAGTTCCAACCATAATTGGCAGCAAGGGACAATATCACCCTAACTGTGTTCATTTTGGCAACCGGAGCAAAGGTCTCCAAATAATCAACTCCATAGGTTTGGGTGAACCCTTTGGCAACTAGTCTTGCCTTATATCTCTCAATTGATCCATCAGCCTTGTATTTCATTGTATAGACCCATTTACATCCAACTGACCTCTTTCCTATTGGTAAGGTGACTAACTCCCAAGTGTTGTTTTTCTCCAATGCCTCCATCTCTTCATCCATGGCTTGCCTCCATTTTCTCGTCGACAATGCCTCGGATAGGGTATTAGGTAGAAGTACAGTGTTTAGGTTTACTAGGAAGGTTTTATGGGTAGGAGAGAAATTTTTAAAGGACAGGTAATTTGAGAGAGGGTAGAGTGGCTGTTTGGTGCATTTTCTTGTTCCTTTTCTAATGGCAATTGGGAGGTCGGGATCATTTTGGGTTTCAATTTCAACCTGCACAGTCTGGAGAAAAAATTGTTACCTCTTTTTGTGGAGTCGAGTTGGATTCTTGAACATGGCTTGATCCTGGAATGGCCTTAGTCTTCCTTGAGTACACCAAATCTTCTTACCAAATTTTCCAGCTTCAACATCTTCTTGATCAGCCTTCACAATTAATTTCACTTTCTTGACCAACTTCCTTTGCTTGACCAATTCCTTGACTTGTTTCATTTGTTACAACTTCAATTTGATCTTGTTTAGGTTCAAATATCAAGTCCGGAAGAATGGGAAAACCAGAATTACTACTTTTAATATGATTTCGTTTAGGTTCAAATGTCAAGTCCGGAAGAATGGGAAAACCGGAATCACTACTTTCCTTATCTTCCCCGAAACTCTCCCCTTGAAGATAAGGTTGATGGAAATAGCCCTCTTGTTCATTGAAGGTAACATCCCTAGACACACAGAATTTTTTGGATGGGGGTGGTAGCATTTATACCCTTTTGAGTGGGTGAGTAACCAACAAAGACACACTTTAAGGCTCTAGGATCAAGTTTTCCCCTGTCCGTACTATGAATATGGACATATGAGATGCACCCAAAAACTCTTGGTTTAAGATTATTTGTAGTAGACAAGTTTGGATAGAAAGACGACAAAACTTCCATAGGGCTTTTTGATCCTAAGACTCTAGAGGGTAGTCTATTGATAAGGTATGTTGCTGTAAGGACAGCTTTCCCCGTAAATTTTTTGGGACACTTTTTTGGAACAACAATGCTCGAGTCTCGATTTAATAGATGTCCATTTTTCCTCTCTCGCGACCCCATTCTCGTTGTGGTGTTTTGACACAAGAGGACTCATGAATTATACCTTCTTTTTGACAAAAAGAATTAAGGACATGATTGAAGTAATCTTTGGTATTATCCGACCTAAGCCTCTTAATATTAACACCAAACTGATTTTTTATCATGGAGTGGAAGTTTAGGAAGACAGAACCGACTTCGATTTTTGTTTAAGTAGGAAAACCCAAGTGACCCTTGTACAGTCATCTATAAAGGTGACAAACCATCGAGTACCGAACACATTTGGAATATTAGAAGGTCCCCATACATCAGTATGAACAAGATAAAAAGGGAAATTGCTAATTCTATTACTTATTGGAAAAGATATACGTTTGTGCTTAGCAAGTTCACACACCTCACAATGAAGACTCTCAACATCTAACTTGGTAAACAGAGAGGGAAATATAATTTTGATCACTCCAAAAGAGGGATGTCCCAACCGACAATGATAAAGCATGATTTTTTCTCTCGTTGGTCATCAAGGATTCAGATATGAAGGAGTGAGAGATTCTATTCTTGTCGAGCACACTTGGATCTTCGAGATAATAAAGGCCATTCCATTCTCTAGCATGTCCAATCATCCTCCCCGAATCCTTATCCCGAAATACACAATGATCGTTGGAAAAAACAACTTTACATGACAAATCCTTTATAAGTTTTTGTATAGACACTAGGTTCGTGGACAACTTTGGGACATGGAGAACGTCTTTTAAGGTTATTAAAGGATTGATTTGGATATTTCCTTGACCAACTGCAGTTATAAGGGTTCCATCTGTCGTGGCAATTTTCTTGTTGCTTGGGACATGGGGAATATGTGGAGAAGTGTTTGGCTAATGGTGTCATGTGATCTGTGGCTCCGCAGTCCAATATCCAATAATGGTTAAAAGGCGTATCCGAGACATTTAATCCAAAAGAAGGTGGAAACTTACCCGAGTATGCCAAAGAACACATACCCGTAGGTTTTTCCAGCTTACTAAGAATGGTTTTCACCCTTTCTATCTCCTCTTCCCTTGACATTATAGCAAAAAGGTGCGATGCAACAACAATGCAGGCTGTCGTCTTAGGATTATGAAAAATGCAGCAGCAATGCAGGCTGTCGTCTTAGGATTAAGAAAAATGCAGCAGCAATGTAGGCTGCCGTCTTAGGGTTAAGAAAATTGCTGCCGTCTTAGGGTTACAAAATATGCAGCAGCAATGCAGGCTGCCGTCTTAGGGTTTATCGAGCGCAGACAGAGCTTCCTAGATCGGAAGCTCTAATACCATGTTAAGGTTCCAACATAAAACCAATTGGCAATATGTGGAGTAGCCTAACATGTATTTAAACCATACCAAATGATATGAGGTAGGCGATGTGGGACTTTCAACAAAAACATGTATGACTCTAGAAGAAAAGTTGTTGTTTTAACCTTTAAGTCACAGGTAACTTAATCCACCGGTTATATCTCAGCTTAATTTCACTTTAGCTTAGTAAGCACATATTTAAGTAGATTTTTAGGGATTAGGGTGGGTTATATTTCTGGTTAGGGAGTACTAGATACTGGGTTTGACTCTGGTACTCCAAATGCAATCCAGTTCCAATAAACTCTTAATGACTGCTGAATGCTAGTTATATTCCCTATAGTTGGACAGTTAACTAAATATCTTACAATTGTAAATCCCAAGCATGCAAATACTAGTTTTTATTCCTTTAGAAATCACAAAATTTTTGGAGTCTGACTTCTTATTTAGTGAGTCTCATGTATGATTTTATAGTTTTAATGTATTAGAGAATGTCTTGTTAGCACTTTTTTATGTCACTATAAACCTTGGAGACAACACCAAGTTTTCTTGTGGATGAATTCTTTGCTGTCGTTCAACCATATGATTCAGAAGCCTTTGCAATCATGATTTCTATATATATACAATCTGACGCTACTTGTGTTAAAAAACTTTTGCAGGGCTATCTTTGATGTTGCAGGCACTGCATTGTTCTGGCTATGTTTGCTTGGAATTGTAATAGCCGCATTACTTCCCCGATTAGTTGTAAAATATCTTTATCAGTACTATTTTCCCAGTGATATTCAGATTTCAAGAGAAACTGAGAAGTTTGGGAATCCAAGAGACAATGGTGGAGGAGAAATAGAAATGCTTCCTGTTTCAGATGCTCCACCATGATCATTTCTTTTGTAAAGTTAAAAATTCTTTAGGCTACGTCAGAGTATCTCTGTTGGTTGCCAGATTTCATTCTTTTCTATCCGAAGGATGGGGTTTTTGTTCACTTCAGAGGCTTCTTGTATTGTTATTCCCTTCTGTTGATAATCTAGCTTGTTGTAAAATAACAATTATTTTAGCAGATAAAGTAAAAAGGTTGATTGCATCTTATACTTTAAATTTTTACACCAATACTTAAATTTATTGCCTGCTTTATCATGTTTGTTTCCCCCTTAAACTTGCTTGCTTCAATTTTAATTTTATGTAAAAGCCTTCTTGTTTTCTTAAATTGTTATAAAAATACAACTTTAATACAAAGTTTATATAATTTGTTTTTTCTAATTATACAAGTTTATTCAAATATATCATTTATCCTTGAAGAAGATTCATGTTTGCATTTGGTGCAAGAATTTGAAAAGTAGCTAAGGATAACAGAGAGAGATGACACTATTATCATTTATGGAACACTATGATGACACTTGTCATGTTTGTATGTATCCTGATACCTGATAAGGGCCAAAAAGATAAGAGAAAAAAAAACAGGACACACTACAAAAGTCAGAGTAGGTCCAAATCTGTGGTTTCACCAATAAATTATGCAAAGCCTGTTCTTCTGAAGGGACAGAAAGAAGCATCTGTCTTTTCTACCTTTTGTGGGGCCTTGGTACTGATTTAGGTCAACTTTTGAAACATACATTTTCAGTTTTCTTACTAATTAAACTATCTTCATTGTCCACATAAAATAAGGGTACAGGCCAATCATATAAATGGAAAGTTGCACCTAACTTTTACTTGAGATTAAATATCACTCTTATCTTCTTGTTCTTAAAATATACATTCATTTTTTTTTATGTTTTTAATAAAATAGTATTCATATTTTGTTTAATCTTTAAATAAACATGCCATTCATTTCTCTTGTATTTTACTAAAGTAAAATTTATTTATTTTAAAATTACATATTCATTAACATTAAATAAAATATAAAAATTAACATTTTTAAATATAATTTTTTTAAACAATACGAATAAAAAATTATTAGTTTAATTGTTACATATTGAAAATAGAATAACAATCATAATGTCACTAAACTATAAAATATCTCATAAATTTTAAAATTATAAGTTTAAGAAAATTTTATTTTAATATAGAAATAAATAGTTATGAAATTTTAATTTATTATTATATAATTTTAATACAAGTATGCATATAAATAAATAAAATAAGGATTATAATTGTTATTTTATTAATAATATAAGAGAGGTGAAGATTTATTTTTAAAATTAGAGTGTAATGTTATTTCTTTCGTGCTAAAAATTTTGATAAAAAATTGAATTTCAATATAGAAAACATTTTTTAAGATAATTTCTTTTAGATTTTTTATATATGTCAAATTTTTATATTAATTATCAAGTAATTAAGATAATAAACCAGTTGACATAAGAGGAAGGAGGACAAAAATAGGATAAATAAATAAATAATAAAAAGTTAAAAATAATCTATATATTTTTTAGAAATATAATTTCTAAAGAAAATATTTTTATATATTTTGCCTTTGCTATTTTTTATTAAAAAAATAAATTTAAAATAAAAAGAAAAATCTTTCATTGATTTGTTAAATTAATTTCTTTACTTAACTTTCATGTGAGCTAAATTGTAATTTTGATTGTTGTGTTATGTTTTACTTGAAATTTTAATTTGTTTTTTTTCATATGATTGTAATCCTCATATTTTAAAATAAATAAATAAATATATTTTTGTTTTTTTAAATACTTTTCGTGCATATACTTTAAAACTTAATAAATTGGTTATAAATTTTAAAAATATATGAAATCAATATTTTTATCACTTTATAACTGAAATTTTTTATTAAATATTAAATTTAAATATATAAAATATATAAAATTATATTTAATCATTTTATTAATTCAGAAAAATCATAATTACTGTTAAGTTTAAGTAGAAAATAATATATTTTAAAAAAATTTAAAAACCAAAATGATTGATTTAATAATATAAGAATAAATGATAGATTTTTGAAATGACAAACATATATTTTCTTTTAAAATAATTCAAACCTAATTCTTAATCATTCTCCAAAATTCTTAATCGAACTCAACAAAATTATACTATCTTGAGTAAGGTACGATGAACCAACTTGGAAGATACCAAAAAATAGGTTAGGATATATAAAAAATTGTAACTTAAATAAGGGTAATTTTGGTATAATATCTGACCATGATTTAATAACATAGACTAAGTCAATTTAATCCAATCTATTTTATAAAATAATTATTATTTTTAAATAAAAATACTAATATTTGTTAATATATATATATATATATATATATATAATATTATATCTTAATTTGAGAAATAATCAATTTATGTGAAAGTAAATAATTAAATCAAAATAGTACTTATATTATTACAATAAAGACAGAAATAAAAAATAATTTTTATTTTTAAATTCTTATAATTTATATATTAAATAAATATATTGAAAATAATTTTTTTTATTAATAAATTTAAAATTTGTTTTTTTCTTTAATTTGTTGGTTTAATTTTTAGATAAATTATTTTTATTTAAATATATTTTTTAAAACTTTTAATGAATTCATAATTAACCCATTAATTTATTTATTAGACTAAAAATTATAATTTATTTTAAAATATATATTAAGTTAGATCATTATTTTTTTCTTAATTAATAAAGATTCGATAATCCTTAACTAAAGATTAAAATTTATTTTAAAATATATATTAAGCTACATCATCAATTTTCTTTTATAGATTATATAATCTTTAACATGAGAGAGGGAATAAACTAAATATTATAATTAGACTGCCATTAGAAAAATACCTAAATTTTATATGTTTTTTATATATTAATTAATTAAATTATATTTTTTATGATACCTTAAATAAACATGTTAGATATAGGGTTCAATTAAACCCCAAAGAAATAAAACATATAAAAATTGATCATTACATCCAAATTACGAATTTTCTAAAGAAAAAAAATCGCTGATAAGAAATTAAAAAAAATATTACTATTGAACCTAATATCTTAATTTCTGGTAAAATTATAGTGTTTAGCTAATTTTAAAATTAAATAAAAACTAATTTTAAACTATTAAACTAATGTATGTTGTATGATCAAATTAACTCTTGTTAACAATAAATTACACTAGTTCCTCTAAAGTTTATAAGATTTCACCAACAATTTATTATTATTATTATTATTACATTTAAAACAAAATTAAGAGTGATAATCTAGCTAATATCAATATCAAATTATAATATTTTTAAACAATGAAGAATATGAATGTATGAGTAGAACAAAGGGAAGAATTTTGTATAGTCTCATAAGATCTCATGGGATGTGTAATTTTTTGGTGAATACACGAAAATTATAAACAAATTGTGTGAAAATATATTAACAAATTATAAAAAATATTTTTTTTGTTCGTCAATTAAAAAAATTACTTTTCATTTACAATGGATATTCATTTGAAAATGACTTTATGATGCAAGCCTTCCCATATGCTAGCATCTCACAAGGGAAATTCCAATGTGCCATTTGGTTCTTTTCTCGATTTGGCAAGTAAACAGATTTGTGGTGTCCATGGTTGTGGGATATGTTGTTTGTTTCTTGAGCCATCTTAAGACACTTTTTTGGGTCCAAAGTGAATGGGTTCCATACGACGGAGGCATGTCCCAAGTTAGAGATGCTGCAATAAAGCTTTTTGGAGCAGATATTCATAATATCCATATCCCCTTTAAGCCAACAACTTCATTCACAGATTTACACTCTTTGACTCAGATTCAGTCTCTGCCTCAACCCATCATCATCATGGTCATGCCATTCAACCCTTCTTCTCTACTCTTTCCTTTTCCTTCTCGTGATTTCTTCCTCCTTCTCACGTGCTGCTCTTTTCTTGTGAAAATTTTCAGTAAGGTTCATGCTAAAGTTTGCATTTTTAAACTCATGAAAAGAAAAGGCTGGAGCTTTATTTGCCTTACTGAAATGGGTATATGAAAGCTGTACATGATTTATTTCTTTTGTTTGTTTAAATGGTAGAAAACTCTTTATTTTTTGCACCGAGATGTATTCTTCATATTGCAAGCTTAGATTTGTATAATGAATATTTGTATATGGTCCACATGTTCATTACCCCCCAAAATATCATGAACCAGATATATGAAGTTGTTTGACTTTATTATTATTTTTTGTCAAAAAAGAAGGTGGTTAGTCAAATGAGTAGATTGCAATGTTTTAAGTCATGTGAAAAAGGTAGGGGGAAACCAAGAAAGACATTGAAGGAAATTTCTGAAAGGGATCCATGGTGAATAATATTCCTGAGACTTTGGTCTTTGCTCTTTAACTGAGTCTAATTAGTGGGATCTATACCTGATGAAATAAGACTTTTGTTGTTGTCATAAAGGTGGTGAATGAAGCTGGAATTGGTTAAAGGGAGGGATAAAGTAAATTAAAGAAATCAGGTTTTGATTTTCCAATACTATAGTAAAAATAAGCGATGGAATTTGATTTGAATTTCGTATCGGATTCTAATTAAACTTGGACTTAATTGATTAACAAGTAAAGAACATAATGCAGTTTAAATTAGGCCAAATTTGTAGGTTGTGTTATAACAACTTTAGCAATGGAATATGGATAGAGTCTTGGTGAAAGAATATTCTTATACTTGTGTTATGTTAGAAATTGAAGGTTGATGACTTTTTCAAATAGCAATGTCCCATTTTTCATCTCCTGATTATCACATTGCTGGAGCTTAACCATGACATAAACACTGAGATGTGATTAATATGTGGCAGTTTGTTGTATTATTTTCTATATTGGAATGGATATTTTGTGCCAATCCTTACATTCTTTGACAGAGTTAGCAGTAGCACCTTTGGTCTTAACTCTTAATGCAAGTTGTCTGTTTCATGTATTCGTAGTTGACAAATAATGGTCCTCAATTGCAGAATGGGCTTGAAGAATCAACTAATGATGAAATGGGTGTTCCTTTGAATGAAGAAGTATGTAGCAAACAGACTGATCCTCAAGAAGATGGTAATGATACTCCGAGAAAGATATATAAAAATCCTACACAAAAACTGGTGGATAAAGTAGCTCATAGGACAAATGAGCACAGGAATGCTAAAAGAAATATTGATCATCAAGAAAAAGTTTTCAAGAAGCCAGACAAGGTCCTGCAATGTCCTCGCTGCAATAGTTTGGAAACAAAGTTTTGCTACTTCAACAATTACAATGTTAACCAACCTAGACATTTCTGTAAAAATTGCCAAAGGTATTGGACAGATGGAGGGGCGATTAGAAACGTTCCTGTTGGGGCTGGTAAGCGAAAGAACAAGTACTCAGCCCTGCAGTATTGTCAGATACCTGTGACTCCTGATGCTGCATCTGTGATCCAGACACATTCCAATGCTTCTACTGATGAGATGATTCTCTCATCTAATGAACTTTCTGTGACTTCAGGACCTATCAAAGGAAGAGATGAAACTCCTCTTAGTGAATCTTTAGAAACTGTTTTAAGTCTCAATGGCCAAAGAAAAATTGATGTAGACTTTTCCACTATCAAAGATGATGGTGAGGACCCTTCCAGTTCTTCGATGAGATCTAATGAAATAGAGCAGGTTGGTTTGGCACAACACTCTAATGGTTTAATTCCTTTACACTCATTTCATTATCATGCTGTCCCTTCATGGTCTTACCAATGGAATCCATGTTGGAATGTCAAGGAGTTTAGGCCTAGTAGCACAAGTTCTAGACCTGCTTACTCGGGTGGTTCTCCAACCATGATGGCAGTTTCGGGCTTCTCCATACCAACAGTAATACTACCTGCTGCACCCTATTCTTATTCAGGTTTCATGTCAAGCTTGACTGGCCAAAAGGAAGAATCTTCGTCGATAGGATCTGCATTTAGTGGCATCTCATTGTCTTCTTCTTCAGTTAGCAACAGCACTTGTTCTGGTAATAGATCCCCAACCTTGGGAAAACATTCTAGAGATGGAAGTACACTGAAGGAAGTTGCAATGAAACAGAATCTTTGGGTGCCCAAGACTGTAAGAATTAATGGCCCTGAAGAGGCTGCAAAGAGTTCTATATGGACAACTTTGGGAACAAAATCTGAACAGAACAAAATCATTATGAAAGGAAGTGTCTTTAAATCATTTGAATCTAAGTCAAGTGCTGATGATAATCGAATTCTAAGGACAAACCCTGCTGCTTTCTCACGCTCTGAATCTTTTCAGGAAAGCATGTGAAATCCGGTATTTTGTTCCAGTTGTTTGTTGTGATTAGTTCAACCATGTCAAATTGGCATTTCTTGTTAGATGATACAACAAATTTTTAAATGTTCATCTCTTAACCTGGGAGAATTCCTTGAAGTGATGTTAAAGAAGACAGGCATGACAAGAACCTTAAATTTTAAGCTATACGTTCAGTAGCAACAAGTAGCCAATAAGAATCTGAAGCTTGTGTCACCATTTGCTTCATGGTAAAATAAGAATCATGACAGGAACATGAAACCTGACTAAGGTATGATATTTAAGCTTCAAAATGGATGCAACCAAGACATTAGTCCTGTGAATTTATTCTCTTTCATTTAATCTGCATCTTTTCACCTTGTCTGGTCGATATTAGGTTAGAAAATTTTGGTGTTATTGACGTCTGTGTACTGTTTTTCAGACATTTGAGGAATTTATTTTACTATTTTCTTTCTTATTTCCAAAAGATTGACTATCTTGAGTGTTGATTGTCCGAAAGAGAAAAATGCTGAGGCTTTTTGCCTTAGCAAATTTTCTTTCTTCTAGTCTTATTATAGATAAAGTCAAAAACACTTAATTGACATCAATTCATATTTTAGAGCACAATAGTTTACCTTTTTTTCACTTTACCACTTCTTTTTCGTTTCTGTATAATGTTTATTGTGATCTTCACCTTTATCATATCATAGCTATTGTTTGTGATGAACATGTGGAAAATACTTTTTGGTTACTTTATTTTTGCCTAGGACTGCAATGAATTTGTCCACACAATTGCTGAACCACACATTTATAGTAAAAAGACATTGGATATATAATGTAAAATTATGAGTTTTCTCCTTCACTCTGGTTTTCTTTGCCAAGTAATGTACTTTATTTCATAATAATAGCATCAAATTCTTTACGTCTTCATTCATACATTATATGATTGAATATCTATTTTATTTTCTGTTCCATAGTTTAATCATTGTAGGAATAATTTTTAAGATAACTTCAACTTTTCCATTAGAAAATAACTCTAGGTGTATCCAAGTCCATGCATATGTGTTTACTGTGTCACCAACTAGACCACAGCATGAAGTATGAACTATAAACACATTATTCTCAAACACCTTATGAGCATATTAGGTCTAGGTGCTATAGATACATTATATTTTAGTTTTGTAAAGTGGTTTTTTATGGTTCCGATCCATCTTTTTGTAAAAAATCTTTAATTTCTTTGGGTATTGCTTGCTTGATTCTTTAAATGTAAATTTAGTAAAATAAGTATATGAGAACTATTATAATTATTTTATTTTCAAATTTTGGTTTAATTATAAATGATAAAACCTAGCTTGTGCTAGGTTGAAAATTTTATGCTAACTTTTAGGAACAAGAGTATTTTATAAGATGAAAATAATAATAACTGATAAAAGAATTTATATTTTTGTATGTATTTTTATTTATATTAAATTAAACAGATAAAAAAAATGAACAACATATTCTCTGACACAATTTTTTTAACAGTGTTTGAAGCTCCATGGACCATCTCTAGAAACATGCTATAATAGGTTAACCTTTTATATATATATATATATATATATATATATATATTATGAATTTAACTTTTTAATTTAAAAGTTAATAACGTTCTTTATCTTAAACAATGATGGTAAGCATGGCAGCTGTCTCGCATTTGGTTCTTTTAACCGTTTCATCTTTATTTTTTGTTGGACTAAAAATTAAGTTTTTATTTTCCTTGTTAAATTTTGGATTTTTTTCCTTTTTCCTTTTATCATTTATCATTTTATATTATTTTTAAAAAAATAGTTATAGTTATAATAAATTAATTTTAATATATTTTATATATAAATATAAAATACTTATAATAATAATAATAATAATATTATTATTAAATTATAATAATTATATATATGTTAATTATTTTTAAAATATTTATTTGAAGATATTAATAAATATTAGATATATAATTTATAAAAAAAAATTAATAAGATAATTTTTATTTAATTAATACAAAATAATAAAAAATTAAATTATTAATTTTTTAATTTAATTATTTTATCTTAATAAAATATTTTATTAAGCTAAAATTTGATATATTATAAATACAAATAATAAAATTTATGAAAATTTGGCATAATAAACATGTTAGACTTTTTAAAGCGAATAAACCCAAATATGCATTATACCAAATTAATTTGGTGTGTTTGGTGAAGAATCAATTCTCGTTGATACAAATTTAATTGTCACAAGAGAAATAATTTCTAGAAAAGCTTGGTAATAATAATTTATAAAAAAAATTTAAAAAAAAATTGTTGGTGATAAATATTATTATGAATGTTTGTGTAAGTTTCTTAAAAGTTAAATAATAATAACTTGTTTTTTTTTACCAAAAACTTCACGTATTCTTCAAAACATTTCAATAATATTAGTTTACACCGCATTTTAAAAATAGCATCCTTCTCCATATAAATTATTGTTGGTATTAATCCATCATATAAAACTCTAATAATTATATATAAAAAATTATTTAAAAAATATATATTTATGTTCATATTTATATATTAAATAATTATATTTAAAATTAATTTATTTATTGATAAATATCACATTTTAAAAATATTTTTTTAAAATTAACCTTTTAAATATTTTTTAACTGAGCCAAAATAATTTATTGATCTGTAACGTAAAGTAATTTTTAATAAGAATTGCTTAAAAATTAAATTAAATATTTTATTATAGATTTTACACTTTATTTATTTAAAATTTGATCAGAATTATTTATTCAAGTAATTTTTTTTAATTTTAAATAATTTTTTCTATTTTTAAACAATTCAGACGTAAGATTTAAAATAAAATATTTATTTTTATTCTTAGAAACTTTCTTTCAAAATGTTCTTAATGTATGATCGAATAATTCATAAAGAAAAGTTTATATTTCTTTTATAAATTATATTGATGATGAAGAAAGAAATTAATGAAATATACTAATACAGCAGAATTGTGTTTACATGTGTTGAATTGAAGAGCAACCCAGAAAGAAGCAAAGGGAAAGAAAGAAGAGAAGGGTTGTAGAATGAATTATGAGATCCTTGCCTCTCCTCTTCCACAATCGTCTCTAATTTCACAAAACTTGTTCCTCTCCTGTACTCAGATTTTAGAAGGATTGGTGCAACTTCAAATGTTTTTTTAAGAGATAAAGTTTTAATTTCAAAGCTGGCACAAACTTTAAATTTAATTTCAAACTAAATTTAGAAAATGAAACTACAAATTTTAACAATAAATTTATTTAATTAAACCATCTACTTAAAATACTTGCTTTCTTACTTAGTCAACAGATATGAAAATATTTTCAAACAAAAATACTATTGTAGAAATGTAAAAGAGTAGCATTGGCTTTTAATTCATACAAAATAAATTCAGATAAATGTTTTACTTAAAATTCAACACCAATTATATTTTATTTTATATAAAACTTCTTTCTAATTTCACGTTCATATGTTATCACTTTGAAAAAACAGAAACTGTAACCTTGTATATATATACATACTATTTAATAAATTAATATAATAAATTAAAAAAAATGATATAAATTATGATAAATGAAAAGATTATGTATTGAAAATTTATCTATAAATTCGTTCAAATTATATTTAATGGAGTGTAATTTGTATATAGTTGTATTTTTCCATGATTAAAATGAAAATTAGTAACGAAATTTAGTATAACAAAATTATAAAAAATAATATATCATTATTAAATTAATATTTCTTAATTGAAAATTAATATATAAATATTAATAAGAAATATCAAAAATACTTAATTGAAGTGTGCCATGAATGAATGGGTCAAATGATGAACCTAAATAAATATAGATGATATGCATGTATGCTGAATTAATTGATCAACAAAATGGGCCTAACAATTTTTTCTTAAAACGGGCTTCTCTAAAACATAAAATATAATGTATATCACTGCAAATACAAACTTTGTTAAATAGGTCAAATGATGGACCTTACAAAATAATGGGCCTTACAAAAGTAATTATTATGCACTATATCATAATTTGTTAAAAATAATTTAATTTATCCTGGTATAATATTATATATAATATATATATATATATATATAATAATGATTATATAATAATTAAAATAATGAAGTAATTATACTAAAAATTTATTACTATTATATGGCACCAAAATAATATCATATTTTAATAATATTATACTATTTTTTTTAAAATAATATTTTTAGTATTAGTAGTATGATTAATGTATTGATAGAGAAAAATAACTATTCTGTTTGGTGGAAGAATGTAGCTAACATAATTTTAATATTGAAATATTTTACGTGGTCTCAACACTTTTAGATTTCGCTGTATAAGTAGTTATATAAGTAGTTATCAATGCATAAAAATTTCCATGAATATCTTGTATATACATAAATTGAAAACAAAATATATAATTATCTAAATAGAAGCTTACGTACACAATTGAAATCAAAATATTCATGATACTAAAATAAGCTTAATATAAAAAATTGTCCTAAGTTTGTTATTTTTCTTATGTTTATATTCTCCTTCAACATTTTAAAAAAAATATCTTCTTCTTCTATTTCCAAATTTATTATGTTTTTGTCATGATTACATTAAAACTAAATAGAGATATTTAGACAATTTTGTTTAACAATGAATTACTAATAATTAGAAAAAAAAATAAAATACCTGAGTATTTTTTTTTTATATTTTAGGCAAAGTTTGATGTGTTACAGTTGAATAATGCATATGATAGTTGAGTACTTACTTAGCAATGATTTCATGGAACCATCATTAAACTTTTTGATAATAACATAATCTCAATACTGTTATAAGCACTTAACAAATGTGAATGAAATAGTTCAAACATTAGTATCAAATGCATACACAAATGGCGAAAACTATCATACCAAACCATACATATAGTAGTCCATACAGTAACTGAAGTACACAATTGAAATCA